CATGTTTACTATACCGGGCCGCAACATTTGTGGATGATGACTTTTTTTACGTAAGTGAGGAACTGGTTTTATATATACTCCCAAATATTAAAACAACACGAAATCTTAATAATCAGTGCGTAGCCAGGGGTCTACTCTCGATCTCCGTCTGACATCCGTCCGAAACAATTGCTGCCAAATAAGCAATACTTGACCAAATGAAGCTTCATACTTGATACTTGTCTTTTAATTTTGTCGAATATTACTTATTTGACAGTAATTGTAACCATTGTGACGATTTCAAGTGTAATAATGCTTACCTATGAAATAAAGATTATTTTGAATTTGACTGTACACGAAAAGAAAATGTTCAAAAATAAAAATTTTAACCCTACTGATACAAAAAAACTTTCATTGTTGTGTAGACGAGCACTGAGTTACTAAAAAAAAAACAAAATTGACAATTTGTATCATAATCATTATTGGAACAATTTTAACTAAATTTCTCAAAAGAAAACATTACTTCAACTCAGATTTACCTTAATTATTCTTAAACCATTCTATTTCTATTTATTTATTATCATTCTGTTTACGACACGTGCACACAACAATGAAAGTTCTCTGTATCAGCACAGTTAAAATTGTAGGTGTTTTTCAACATTTTCTTTTCGTGTACATGGCTTTTAAAGATTGGCAAAAATCATTTTAAATGGGTTGTTAAAATGTCGTCTATCTAAAAGAATTTTTGGACCACTGTAACTGGGTCACCCTGTATATTAGCAAAGGAATTTTGGGGTGAACTTTTTTAAATGAAATAAAACCACAACATACTATGAAACATTTTGGTATTGTTATCATATGCATAGAAAATAAATAATTTAGATACACTTGACAAGATCGTAATACATATGCAAAATAATTATAAAATTTATTCAGATTATAAAAGCGTAGCAGAATTTAGGTTTTTTAAATATGGCTACGTGATTTCGTAACTTTTCATATTAAATTAATATACTTTACTATTTTTTCAAGCTAGAATATCTATTGGAAGCTGTGATAAATTTAATAATATCAATGATTTCTAGTTTGTGCGTACTATCGCTTACGTCAGTATAAAAGTTAGAACCTAAGCCCTAGCACCAAATCGCGAAGTGAGATCTAACTCTAAAAGTGAACTAGCAGCATCATTCTAAATGGCCTATATTTGAGAAACGTATGCGTACTATACTAACATTATATTAGAACTTGAATAGAAAGATAGAAAAACAAATGAAAGATGAATTACAATCAAAACAAATTTGTTTTTAGAAACATACATGAATGTCGTTTTTAAAGATCAAAAGTTCAATTTTTAGTAAACAAATGAATGTTGAGTTTCTAGAAAAACTAAACGAAAGTTACGTTTAGAGAAAACACAAAAGACAAGTGTTACATACGCTAATATAATACTCCTATCCATGGTTTTACTTTCACAAATACTTTAAAACGGTTTTAAAATAATTTCGGCAATGCTCTAGAATTTCAGATTTCACTGTGGTCGGGTCAATTTTCCACGGAAAGAATTAATTAGGCCGCAAATTCGGAACGCTGGTGCGTTCAAGGTTTGCGCGTACATGGCGCGCATATCTTGTGTTGCTAATTTTTGGCCTTACGATTTCTTAATTAAACCTTTGAAGTCAATTGTCTTAAGAAGTACATAAGAGAGTGAAAGAGCCTTTAGCAAGTACTGTGTACCAAGATGCGGCCCGTTTTCTCTCCACATAGGTCCCGTGGCACAAGAATTATTTGTCCATCTGACTCCATTTTCCAATAATGGATTGAAACCATTCTAAAGTTTACTTGGATCTTTTGAATCGCCTGGTCGGCCCAATTAGCCAGAGGAGCTATGGGAAAGTGAATGGTTTGTGTCAATACTTTAAAAAACTATTTAAAAAGAAATTACGTGTTTTTTATCCCTCCATTCAAGAAATTTATTACAAATACGAATAGATAACATAAGCGTGTTCTTCTCAAACATCAATATGACTAGCTTTTCTGTTGTTCTTAAAATGCACCTTTCATTACAAACCCTATCTAAATCCAAGGCAATAAGATTCTTTCCTCAAAACGTACAATAAGCTGCAAAAATGCAAATTTGTCCAAATAAAGTTTCCTCTGTATTCTATAGACTTAGTGCGATATGGTGAGTATTAAGCAACATTTACAACTTACAAGTCAATATTCCATTGACTAGAAACCTTTCTTTTAATTAAATTTTGCTAAGACAGAATGGGAAGGCAGCTTTGTAGCATATTGTACATTCTACATCACAGTATTCTGTTTCCGATCTCAGATCTTTAACATTAATTTATTTCATTAACACTTCCAACGACGCCTAATGATAAACATAAGCATTGTTTTATGCGCAATATAAAAGCACTATAACATGTAAACAAATTATGAGAATATTTGAATTAATTTGAAACTGCGACAGACACATTGAAGCATAGACAAAAGTTTCCAAGGTACCGGTCATATTGTTTATAAATCGTAAATACGAATTGTAAAATGGCTTTTCGATGAGTACGAAAATATAGTCACTGTGTATTTGATGGCATATGAAGTTGAATTTAAAACTTTAAGCGCAGATAGAGACCATTGTGCAGTTGAATGTACCTTCGAAAGAACATGACTTGCTGTACTATGTTACAACAGTGTTGTCGCAGTAGCACTTTAAGTTACTATTTTACCTATATCATAAATGAGTCATATCACTGTAAAACAATTGAAGCGTAATCTTTATTGCTTATATAACAGAGTATTTTACTGTGTCCTGTAAAATAGATATGTATTTTCGAAATATATCGTACCAATATAGACAGCACAAATATCAAGACATGGAATGTGGCAGTGTCGCCTTAATCGTTGTATTGAAACTTACTTACTGAAAAGATGGACCAATAACTCTAGAGGGCTCGGAAATTCTCCATAGGACAAATTGCAACCCAAGAGCAAAAGGTAAAAATCCCGCCATATATATACATAGACAGCGCTCATCGATAGCCAGGGAGTAGTTTATATTATGTACATGGCCAAATGGCCAATGGATATCAATTAGTTCCTCTTTAGTATGAAATATAAGTAGGCAGTTTTTATCCTTGTAATATTATTGAAATCATCGTGTGTTTCGAAATAATTCATAAATTAACGGTTGCTAATGTGGTTAGATAGCGCTAATCCTAAACAAAATAAAATAATAGTCGGCAATACCCTCAGATATTTAACTTAACAATATCCTCAAATTTGTTATAATTATTAATAAAAAGATCACACTCAGAAAAAAATCCTTTGCACGTAGAAAAATTCGTGAGGACCGCTGGTTCGTGGCTTAGCTGGCATAGCGTCTGGCACGGTATGCTAGAAGATGTCGGTTCGAATCCGGTCGAATAGAAGGAATTTTTTCTGAGTGTCCGATCTTTGTATTAATAATTATAACAAACTAGGAAATGAAACTATTCCTCCGGATTTAAATCGCGTATTAAACGCGGTTTAAATCCGGAAAAATAGTTTCATTTCCTATGTGTAACAATCGCGAAAATCTAAGAACTCCATATATAACAAACTAGTTTTTACGTAAAACATGATTGAATGTCAATTCAATAAAAATTTAAATTACCATAAAACTCTGTGCAATAAGTGCCATCTAGTTGTTTTATTTGTTGTCATTAGCAATAAGAGAATCTTTGATAAAATGCAGCTCGTCAATGTAAAATAAATGTATTACAAAAATAGCTAGTTTGTATTCGTCGCGACATCTGGTGTACAATACGTACTAAAGACAGCGTAGTCGGATAAGCTGTCTTATATCGCGATTAGCACCTCTTAAGAGTTACTGATCCATGCTGAAAATATCAAAAGGGTCTATTCATTAATCGATCGATCGACAGAGAGTTGTGCATGTGAGTGAAGACTGGTACTTTCTGACCCTGATATAGTGGCAAATAAATTACTTCTTCAAAATTCCGCACCATAGTGTGGATTCCAAACGTAACTCATCAATTTTATATTTTTTCACCTAATGCACTTTCACATGACTGTCTCCGTCTACAAATATTCCAACAGACCCCTTAAAATAACAAATATAAACCGTTTTTAACTAATACTATGGATGGAATGCAATATTAAAATTCAAGCTGCAAATCGCCATTACATATAACTTTATCTTATATTGTACATTTCACAATACAAGGAAGTCCTATGCTGCATCTAATGCGGGTCTTTCACTATTGAAACTGTGTGATAGAGACAAAGGAAGGTGAGTTACTAGAATGTTTTACCAAATATTCATCTCGTTTCTTCGCATTGTCTAAATCCGATAGTGAACAGGCCATTTAATTACCGCAAATAATTTGTAAAAATAATACAATTAAATATCATCATTATATGTAGTGATAGACAGTAATGAGTAATCATAGCAAAAATGCAATGAATTTAAATCATGTATCTGTTCATCTTTTTAATATCAGATTATTAACGCTTAATAATTTCCCAATGATTTCAAAGTCCATTGCGTCATTTTTATAAAATCGCGACTTTATCAACGATTTAAAATACGTAGGCCAATATATCAGTATAATATGACCAATGATGGCAGCAATTGTTGATACCTTAAAAAATAACTAATCACGAAGTTGTTATACGTACACATGTCTACTTGAAATTGGATTTGTTAACAATTATAAAGTATTAACAGAAAGTCACTGTTTGTTATGAGAACATATGCTCAAATTACGCCAAAATCGTATTTCAAAAACATGTGTAATATCCGTAAAGTATTATAGCCTGGTAGGTGCCCTTGTAAGTGAGTAAAGAGCTGGTGGCGCTGCGGTCGCAACTGGCGTAGAGGCGTCGCCTTCAGAGTCGGATTCTTCTGAAGAGACGCGCTCTGCAGCGCTGAGTGCCACGCGGGCGTATTCGTCGGTGTCTATGCTCTTGCAGAAGTGGATTGCGTATCTGAAAATGATTAAAATAAAAATTTGTCATTTTTTTATAATATCAAGTGACGGGACGAACAAGTCGTGCGCCTGGTGGTAAGCGTCTGTCCAAAACAGTTGCAGTGGCACTCACAGCTTTAAATCGCAAAGATCTGAGAGGCACTGCTACTGCGCCCGTGATCCTGAGACATAAGCTGACAAGTCCCATGTACCTGTAATTTCACCAGCACCATCGCCCTTCAAAACCGGAACGCATTATTGTTTGGCGGCAGAGATAGGCAAAGTGGCAATACTTGGACGAACTCTTTCACGAGGAGCTCTACTGCGGCTGCTAATATTGAATACCATGTTTTTATTATCATGATATAGATAAACATTTTTTGTGAAAATACTCGTCTAATTTGTTATTATTATTGATATAACGATCGAACAAACACAAACAAAAAATCCTTCGATCCGTCTGGACTCGAACAATGCACCAACACGGTAGCCACGTTGAGACGACAGACGCAACGCAGGCGCATCGGAGGAATTTTTCTTTGTGTTTGTCGATCTTTGTATTAGTAATAATAAAAGAAAATAAAGTAATTATTTTCTTTGCAACCACACCAATTACCTGGTGTGATACTAGTGAATTCCCTATAATATGAGTACGAGAGCGATGGAATTCATTCCGGTGAATTACCGTGATAATAAAAATCCGTGCTAATTTACAAAATTGTCGGTCCCCAAATTGGTTTAATCGCTGTGAACATTTTTGATTTGTATGAAGACGGACGTCGTTAATCAATAATGACGCAGGCATCTCTTTTTTATTGACTACACAATTTTTACATAATTTTTCAGAACTTGAAATGTTTCGCAACGGCAGGGATTTACTTTTAAAAAATCATGTACGCAGGAACCGGAAACAAGGAATAGAAATAATGAATTTATAAATATGTGCATGTACAGGGAAAAAATACTTTCCGCGTTATCCACTAGGGGTGATGACTCTATAGTCTGTCCTTTTTGAAGACGGAGTAAAATGACATTTGTAGGGTTGCCAGTTCTCATAAAATTTTAAATAGGTATGTGGTGGTTCTCGATTGTTTTATCGATAGATTATCTATATTGAATTATAATTAAAAACTTTAAAACATGTCTCCTCTTTGTATGTTTCATAAACATAGTTCTAAATACAGTGTATGTATGTATGAACTTATAAAAATTAACGATTCAAATTAACTTGTGCTCAGTAATGTATGAAGATGTTTCAAATGAAGCAAATTCGGCTATTTTTTCCTTATGCGTGACCAATATGCAGTCGATAGTGGATAGGATATTTATCGACTGCAATAACTAGCTACTTGCAAGCGGGAAACACTTGCGCAATGAAGTATCATTTTACTCCGTCTTCAAAAAAAGACAGACTATACCCATTATGTATAATGTACTCTTTGTCCTCATCTAGAGCCTGCTATGCATACTATTGGGCCACAGATGAGGTTGTCAAATACAAGAGATCTCATCATTTACCTTAATTTAATGTTTAATACGGCTAAAACACAGGCGTGTCTTTTCACATCAAAACGGACACCTTACTCCGACTTTTCGAGATGTATCCGTGCCGATAAAGGACCACCTTTGCGCTACTTGGTCTGGACTTATCATCCAACCTCAACTTTAGGCGATACATCGAGTGCTTGGCAAAAACTGCTGCCAGAAAACTAGCCATACTTTACAAGGTCAGGCGGTACTTCACACCTGAACAGCTTTTAAATCTGTGTAAAGCACAAGTTCGATCCTGTATGGAGTACTGCTGCCACCTTTGGGACGGCTCTGCCCATTACCAGTTAGCTGCCTTGCGACTCGATGGAGCGAAAAGCAAAGAGACTTATGAACAATAATTCTCTTGAAGAGTCGAAGCTTCAAAATCTGAAAATCAAAACCATCGCAGAAAAGTAGCCTGCTTGTCGGTTTTCTATCGAATACATTTCGGGGAGTGTGCGCAGGAACTTTTCAATTTGGTTCCGCCCTCACCATTCCTCCTTCGGTCGACTAGAAGGTCCGGAGCACTCCATTCTTAAGTCGTTAATATTCCACCTATTCGCACTAAGCGCTTTGCTTCCTCCTTTTTGATGCGTACAGCAAAGGAATGGAATGCTCTACTATCTGTAGTTTCCGAAAAGTACAATTTGGGGCTATTCAAGGCTAGAGTGAATACGCATTTTTTCGGAAAACGCGTCCCATCGTCGGTCACATCGTCGCTTAACATCAGGTGAAATTGTGGCCAAGCGTGTGTCTATTATATATTAAAAAAAAATTACACAAAACATTGTTTTTTAATAAGTGTTCCGTTTTAGATACGTGAGTTCATAGTAAAAAGTACCTGTGATGTTAAATATTTGTCTTATGTATGTAGTTTCTAACCCAGTGTAGGACTAACTACACTATCCCCTGAGGAAACCTGTACTCAGCAGTGAGATCTATGGCTGTTGGAATAGAAGCATATCTGTAACATTTCTACCTAAAAAGTAGCTTACCTAAGCTTTTCTCTAAGCACGGTCTTGCAAGTATATCTTGGCATCTTGAGTAGGAAGAAACACGTGTAACTCTCCGGGAGGAAGTGGTCTGGTGGCTGGTACTTATCGAGCACCTAAAAAGGATTGTTTACAGATCAAAATGTATAAGAGTACTGACAATTTTTATGCTACCGATTTTCCTTCCCATATGAATACATCAATGACGTGTTGTACTGTTACGTGCAGTAAATAATTACGTAAATAAATAGTGAAAGTCAGTTTCGTAAAGTATAATTAAAACCATCTAATATTTTGTAAGAATAATTATACTGTGCGAGACAAGCACGCGAATTATCTGGCTCAAACCAGAGAATTTCTGTACTATAAGTACCTTGTACAACGAAATAATAACGCACACACTCAACATAGTCCCGCACTAGGGAAACCCTGTCTCGCGGATGCCATGGACACACACATAGACAACCACAAAGTTACACCTAAACCCACGAGAGAAATAAATGTAGGCCATACAAATATTTCTACCGGCTCAGGATTCGAACCTGGGAGCTCTGCGCGGCAGTGGTAACCGTTCGGCCACGGAGGCAGAAATGTAGTTCGGGACACTAAAAGTTCGTTTATTATCCTACCAGGACGCCGATTCGGAACTCTTCGATATTTTAACCGAATCGTTCGATGCGATATTTCTCGAATCGAAGGGTGCTTTCCGTGCCATTCGGAACATTTGAGTTAAACGTTCGTTCGTTCATTTATAAACATTTTTAAGACTTTAAAGGCCTAAAATATAGGAATGCATTAGTCTTATATTAAAATAATAAAATTGAACAAAATCCCGACTTTATTTAAAATAATAAGAGATTTCCATATTACATTCTTGCTTTGCAAACAATAAGACGTTCGGTAACTTTCATAACTGTGTTCGGAATGACGTCTGTAGCCTTTGCCGGTCGAGAAGTTCGAGTAATCGTACGGGTGTGACGTCATTTCGGTTCGGTTTTGAATACGAGCATGACGTTCGGTTCGGGTGTTGTGAATAAAAATGAAAAGAAATTCTAGGATATCAAATCGAATCGGTCGACCCGCTGGACCGTCTCATTTAGTACCTACAATACTAATCACTGGGCTAGCCAAGTAAATACATAATAATAGTCCATGTTAAAGGAGTTGTGCTACGTAACTACATATTAATGCACGTGACTGTACATAGCCATGTATGTCACGTTATTATTAGCTTCCAGCTTGCATTCGACACCGAACTGTTCAAAGCCATAACAATTTAAATCTTTTCCAATTTTTTTTTTCTTTTCCAGGCTGACTCTGTAGTAATGCAATTATTTACCAACACTTATAAAATATCATTACAGGTTATTACCTAACATGATTGTAAAGCAACATATCATCTGTCTATTTCTATATCAACAAAAATATTTTCATAATACAATACAAATAATGTTATCCTTGTGAGTTCACTCAAGGCACAAAATAATTATTTATTATACTCCGTATAACCATTTATTTCACTTTTGACAGCTCGAATTTTAATCAATTAGTGATGTCGTAATGCGTTTCCGATTCGATTTTTTATAACAATCGATTTTATTTACGAACAAGTTTTAATCGTGGATGTATCGGATCGTGATGTGGCGTTTGACAATTTGTGTACTCAAGGATTAATAATCATATGGTGAAGAATCCGACGATTCATTATAATAAACAATAAGAATTTATTATAATTATCCATAATTTATTTAATTTCATTATAATTTATTAGACGAGTACCAAAATTTATCAACATGAATAATCTTCGCTACATAATCTGGTGGCTTGATAAATATCGGCGCTAAAGAGCACGTCGCTTCACAAAAATTAAAAAATAAAAGAGTCCAGAAAGTATTGCATATTTGTGTTTGTGTTTGGATGTCAATCATTACGGAACTTCGAAGGCATGCATATGTCAAAAGTTAAATAAATGGTTGGACGGAGTATAGCTATTAAATTAAGAACGTGCGCTTCAACGGAGCCTTGTTCAGAAGGTTGGTCCTGGTGTCCGTCGGGACTACACATACCTATTTGCTCCAAAAGCGACATTTTACTTCTCAAAAGCTTAAAAATAAAAGACACTAGTGAAATACTCTGATGTTCGTTATAGCCAACCATTCCTAAAACAACTAGAATTGGATACATGTGGAGTACCTGTAGAACAAAGTCTCTTTGTCTGGGATCTTGTGGTGCGCGCGGCAGCCGCGTTCGGCCCCACACAAATCGTAGGAAGAGTGCTCGCTCGCTGCCTGATAACTCCTCCATCACCTCCCAGAACCACTGCACTAACGGTGCATTGGGTTCTATGCCTAAAAAATGCATAACACATTTATCTTTACGAAACATTGACCTACAATTATATGGACATCGGGCCCGTGATAAAAAGTGTCCGAACTTATAGGGCGTTAAAATCGTATACAGAGCGTCATTCACACTTTAGTCTTCGTTTGTTCGACTGACAGCGAAGCAAGCAAAATTAGACAGTACTGCGATGACATTACAATTTAAATTCAACGTTTTAGCTTTTTCATATTCCTTTACATGTGACTACGTTTAAATAGGTTGATTTGGGACATTTTTTTCGTGGTTTTTGTATTAGACCCGTCGTCCATTTATTTGTAAGTCAATGTTACGAAAGGATATTAGTACCAACGTAGTAATTATGTGTTGTGGATGTTTTTTTGGTTCGTTTGTTGTCAATAATAACGGAGCTACAGCTTTTATATTTTATCATTTGCAAATTTAGCATAACTCTGCAAATACAAAAATCCATGAAATTGGCGTAAAAATTTAATGGTCTTTCTCTAGGCATCAAAATAATATACTAACAAAGATTATATTCTTCATTTAAATAAGGACACAAAGATAATTAATAATAATTATTCACTGAGCTTTATTTCGCAAATACACTGTAAAATTTTAAATATATATTAAAAGAGACAGCAAAATTTTGTATCTATCAAAGTAAAAGATTGACAGTAAAATAAAGAGATTTTGCCCTGACCTCAAGGGTTCGTGGTACAACCATAGTAAACACACGTAAAAATAAAGAACCAATAAAAAACAACAATACAAACCTTTATAAGTAGCAGAAGCCCGTAGCGAGTGTACCGGTATGTCTGGCGACCCGCATACAAGAGTCTCGATCTCCGACGCGTTGAATAGCGCCAGAAGCGGCGCGGGGATAACGCGGGACATTCCGTCGCGGACCGCGCGGACTTGCTCGTCGAATTCGTGTAGTCTAAATTCGTAATATTTATTAAATAATAATGCCTCAAGCGAACGGCCTCTGAGCAGTTATGTCGTCAAAATATACTAAAATTGGCATCAAAATTGGAGTTGCTATTTTTTATTCAATTTCAAAGAAAAATTAACATGCTATGATCAGTTCTTTATTAATAAACAGTAATTCAGTATTTTGACTTTTAAATATTTCCCAAATTGTACTTTTCGAATTTAACCAGCCGTGAAAATGCACGCATACTTTTGATGAAAAAACATATTTAAAGTAACATAAAGGAAAAAACCGTAAAAAGTTAAAAATAAAATGTTCAACGACGGCCAGCCATAACTATGACAACAGGAGGGACGTCTTTGCTTTGAGCAAAATACTCGGAAATTAATATTATTAGAAATTCAAATTACTTAAAGGTATATAATAGGATGATAGGGATCAACAGACTATTAAAAAAAAATCAAAATGGTGGTTTTAAAGTGGAGGCATAAAACATTCTTGCACCAACTAGACTCAAAATTGACACGTAGTGTTCTTTTGTACTCGCTATAAATTAGGTAAAAAAAGTACTTAAAGGTATATAATAGGATGATAGGGATCAACAGACTATTTAAAAAAAATTAAAATTGTAGTTCAAAGCGTAGGTATAAAACAATCTTTCACCAACTAGATCCAAAATTGACACGCAGTGTTCTTTTGCACTCGCTATAATTTAAGTAAAAAAATTATCAAAATCTATTTTTTTCAATGGGGCTGCCACATAAGACGTTTTCTAGGGAATTTAAAATAAAATAAAAATGCGAGACCGAACTTTGACGAACGCAGCATGTGCAGCAGATAAGAATTCACTCCCAGCGTAAGTGGAGAATAAGGATTATAAAAATGTTGCACTATAGAGTCCTTCAATTGTTTAACTTCATGACCAATACCAAAAGTCACTATGTTTCTAAGCGCATTAAACCTCTATCGATTTCCAACATCTCCCAGTGTCAGTCATTCAACTTCATGTGCTTCAAAATGTTTAGTAACCATTTTGGAATGTTTCAAAGAAATAATTATATAAGGTCTTACCTGTAATGCAATGCAAGTTGTACGTATTCGTTCTTGTTATCTGGTGTGACGCGTTTGTGTCGCGTCGATAGTGGCACTTCGTGGCCAGCCGCAGACGGAATCGAGAATGGCAGCTCGAGGTTTTGGAGCTCCTATTAAAACAAATAAATGTGATTCAAAACTGAGTCATTTGATAATTAAAATGGCAGTTATTGCCAGCGAAACGAGTCTAGTAAATAAGAAAAAAAAAACTATAGCTTATACATTTTTGAAGTATTTATAGTCTTATCGAGTTCTTAGGTTTTCGCGATTATTACACATAGGAAATAAAACTATTTTTCCGGATTTAAATCGCTAACCATAAGCAAAGTTAACTGTGACCTATAAAGGTAAACATTGGTTTGTTTGAAGAAACAAATATACGCGATCTAAATCCGGATACATAGTTTCATTTCCTATATTTATAGTTTTAATGAAGTTTTTATTGAATATCAGGATGTTTGACTGCTCACACACCACTAGTTCCGTTATAATTATTAATACAAAAGTTTACAACACTTTAAAAAAATTCCTTCGATCCGGCCGGATTCGAACCGACGTCTCCTGACAAACCGTGCCAGACGCTACGCCAACTAAGTCACAGAACGAACCAGCGGACCTCACGAATTTTTCTATGAGCTTGTTGTCGGATCTTTCTTTTTGGTTTTGAACGACTTTTTTGCCGAAGCGTATTTATTATTTATTTATTTAAAGTTTATTGTACAAATGGCGGACTTAATGCCATAAGGCATTCTCTACCATTAGGCCAAACAGAAAAAAAAACAATAGGTTGGTGCTACACTTAAATAAGAACAATATACTAGAAAGCTAATCGATAATTTGTATGGTATAAATAAATAACATAATTTATTATTATACATACATAATATACCTACATTTATATTATAAATAATATAATATATGTACCCAAAGCAACATTATACAGAGTGTTGATTTTGACAATTATTAAACAGATACTTGCGCAACATGCGCTTGAAAGATAATTTGGTCTGAGCTTGTCTTATATGGAGCGGGAGCGTGTTCCAAAGACGGATGGCATGAAGGGTAAAAGAAATAAACGAAAAAAATCAGTGCGGTGAGAAAGAATAGAGAGCTTAAGGCTACGGGAAGATCGAAATTCGCATCCCGGCCGAGCGGTTTGAAATTGAAATGAACAATTAAGATAATCAGGTGCAGCCGTGTTGAACAAGATGAAGAAAAGAGTGGTTAAAATTCTTAAGGACCTGCTTTCCCGGATGGGAAGCCAATTTAGTATATTTATATTCTTCTTCGTATTCATAGTCTTCTTTCTTTCTTACTGTATCAATGCTCTAAACTAAGCCAACCGGTTGAACCGTGCCGTAGTGGTGAAAAGATTTACCAATAGACGAAAGATAATTTCTCCAATTGTTGCCAGTAGGTTCCTTTAGTGCACCAGTATTTATAAAAGAAATCACTTGTGAACAATGAAAAGAAATTACCTTATTAGTAGCCGTCATGTCTCTGATACAGAGTAAAGCAGGCAGGAAATCCTTATCGACTTCAGCAAGATCTTGCGGTCGTAGTGGCTGTCCGGCCAACTGACGCCACACTCCTTCAGCTAATGATAGCGAGAGCGGTGACCCCGTACGGATTGCAATTCCCATTAGAACACCTGAGAAGGAAATATAAATCAAGCGCACTGTAATACCTAATCGTTTCGTTTTCATATAACTTTCGGTTATAAACAATGTTAGTTTAAAATAATATAGTATATAATTAATGAAGTACACACATCAAAAGTGTCTAGGGATCAAGTACGTTTAAGAGTATTGCTGCAATTAGGGTGAATTATATTAACTTTTTTGTATCGCTATTGATACTTATTAGTGAGTTTTAACATTTAAATAAGGAATATTGTTTAAAATTCGATAATAAGAAGAAAATCGATTGTCAATGTGGTTTTGTATAAAAATGAGTTATAGCGTTTTGACAAAATCATTACAATATCTGCATCGGAACCGAAACAATTTACATTATTATGGAGAGACAACATCATTTAACCCGAGAAGTGATGATGCGAGCCGTCGGAATGTTGGAAGCTGGTTCCAGGCAACGTGCTGTGGCTTTCACTCTTAACACTACACAGAGCGTCATAAGTCGCCTCTGGACGCGCTATCGCATGACGGGCAGCGTGGCCGAGCGACATGGAGGACGATCTCGCATCACGACTCGCAGACAGGACCGGTATATCCAAAATACTGCTCGACGGAATCGTACCATGACCGCCATGATGTTGGTTACGAGGCTCCACAGCTCCTCAGGCTTGCTCATAAGCGATCAAACAATCCGAAACCGTTTACGTGAAGTGGGTCTGCGATCCCGAAGGCCGCTCAGAGTTCCACCTATTGCACCCTGCAATAGCAGGACCCGTTTACGATGGGCTCGCGAACACAGAAACTGGGAGGAAGAAGACTGGCGCTATGTGTGCTTTTCGGATGAGTCCCGCTTCGGTATGAGACCGGATACAAGACGTACTCGAGTTTGGAGAACATCTGGACGTCATGAACGTTTGAGATATTGTCAGGAAGTTCATCCATATGGTGGGGGAACAATAATGATATGGGCCGGTATTTGGGTCAGCGGAAGAACCGATCTCATTTGGATCAGGGGTAACCTCAATGCTCAAGTTTATGCAGAGAGGATTGTTTCAGATTAACATCTGAATCATCCCTTTGCGAGGCCAGTTGGGTGATTCATTTCAACTAATGCATGACAACGCACGTCCACACACGGCTAGAGTCGTAACACGCATTCTTGCCGAAGCTCGTATCAACGTTCTGCCGTGGCCTGCTCAATCGCCAGACCTCAATCCAATTGAGCACGCATGGGATATGCTTCAAAGAAGAGCTGTGCCGAGTATGCATACCGTACATACTCTACAACAATATTTTGACTTGTTACAAAACACATGGGCGGCCATTCCTCAAAGTGATTTTGATGAACTCATCTTAAGCATGCCAAATCGCTGTAATTGTGTGATTCGTGTTAATGGTGGAAATACAGATTATTAATTTTCTTATCTTTACAATAAAAATGAGCAAAATCATCATTTTCGCCATTTTTTTGTCATTTAATTGACGCCGTTAATTTGAGTTTTTTCCCACAATTTGCAAAAACATCAATTTTAGTTTATTTTAATTAAATATAGGGGTAAGCGGTTAAATAAAACATAAGCATTAAAGTAAGAAGTCGTCCTGGAAGACTGGATTTGGTAAATATTGCTTAAATAATTTTTATTTCAAAAATATTCACTTGATCCCTAGACACTTTTGATGTGTGTAATTTAAAAGGACACCAATTGGAAGTAATAAACACGTATTACGGATGTAAAAAAGCCTATGGCCTAAAACCCACTCTTTATAGGAGGCCCATTATAAGTTAATATAGAAGTATATAAGTTATTTGTAAAATACTAACAACCTCGCAGCGCTATATTACTAAAGTCTGTTCCAATCCATTTTCACAAAAAGTAAACAAACTGTTCGGTTAAAATTCTAAAGCAATCACTCAATAAATCGAATAAATAACACTTTCACGTATATTTCGAAGATTTCGACTTGATAGCTCATCACTTTTTCCAACAATATTTATTTGAATAGCATCGTAAAATTGTATTTGGAAAATGTATGCCAAAAGTGAGGTTATTTTTCATCTATACAAATATGACTTGTCTATGGTTGCATAGTGCTCTACGAAAAAAAAAAGTTTTTGTAATCGATTAGTAAATCGAATATTTCAATCGCAATCGGACGAGTATCTAAGTGTAAGGATTTGAAGGAGGATTTAAAATTAAGTTTCGTCCCTACCTTCTACGAATTCATAAAACAGTCCCATATCATTCTACATAAGTTTTGTTTATAGTGGCCCTCCCTATCAACCTCTTGGTTATGCGGGAAGAGCACTATGACCTGTGCGAGCGAACCCGCACAGGGACCATCTAAGTCAGGTCCTAACCCTGGATCAGCAACTTTGCACGGATTCCATCTAATTCTCTGTCAGGCTAGTGTCTTAGGTGTGCCGCCCCGGGTGCACGTACAGTACCCTCCCTATTTTCCAGATAGACACCGAAGTTCATAAAACAGTATTAACTTACCAAGGAACCTAAAACAGTTCAAATGCAGCGGCGTATTGGCAATTGGGTTGAGTAGGAAGGCATCCCTGGACGCGCCTGCGTCTCCACGCCCGTTTGGTGTGGCCATTAGAAGGGGCAATGACCCGTTCTGCAGCTCCTCGCACATCTCCGCTATGCTCTCACTGTAGCCTCCGCCGCAGTCATCTACACTCTCACCTGCAGACGGAAAACTTTAGTCTTCAGTCGGAGCTTATTAGATTCATATAAGCAGTGTAATCGATATATTATACGACTTTATTTTTTTATGATAATATCAAGTGACGGGACGAACAAGTTGTGCACCTGGTGGTAAGCGAAACGTCTGTCCACAGCAGAGCTTTAAATCGCAAAAATCTGAGGGGCACTGCCACTGCGCCCGTCATCCTGGGATATAGGTTGACAAGTTCCATATGCCTGTAATTTCACCAACATCCTTACCCGTCAAAATCCGAACGCAGTAATGCTCTGATTACTGCTTAGCGGCAGAAATAGGTAAGGTGGCAGTACTTCTCTGGACGAACTCTTTCACAAGAGCTCTGGGGCATAATACAGGCAATATCAATCTTAAGCTTATACCACGCGTGCCGTAACTCACGAGAGTGCAATTGACAGACCGATCTCTTCCGGTTCAAGTAATATAATTACCGAGATAAATATTTTTATCCCTTCGGTTAATAGTACCAACAAAACCTCAACTTACCCACAAACTTAACCTTCCACACTCGATGCGGGAGTGCGAGCGCATCTTGCGTAAGCGCAGGCAAGCGTGCCACCATTTGTCCGAACACCGATCGCATACCAGCTGGGCCGGCCAATCCGGAGCCGCCACGCCGCGACCGACGGGCTGCCACGCGAGAAAGTTCAACCACGGGACCGTGTTGGCGTTCGCGAACCATTGTCCCCATAATCGCCTAGAAAAGACATACTCTATACTTTCAAAGTAATGTGTGATAATGTTACGCCCGTAATTTAGCGTGACTAGAAATATAAACAGTTTAGTACAATGAGCATCATTAATGTTTTTAATTGTAATTACAAATAAACAATAAGAACCTTTCTAAAAGCGGCTTCTTTAACACTGTAGAAGAGCAAAGTCCTCAACTGATCCAGGGGTCCGTCTAAGATCAACAGTGGCAGGTTGGGGCACACCAACTCCGAAAATTGATGAAGAAGCACCTGTTAAAATTTGCAAACATATAGAAGACTGATTAAAACAGACATCTGTGCATTTTTGTAATTCATAGATTCAGGTGTTACTTTGCATGTTAGTCAAAATAGAAGTAAATGACTGCAAAAAACGATTACGTCTGGGTGTTTTCGAACTGATGGAAATAATTTAGATACAAGAATAGGGGAATAATGTGTAGCGCCAGACCCAAGTAGAAGATGTTGAGGATCTCGACGAGCTTGTGAAATTAAAAGACGATTTAAGTTGACTGTAATATATTGTCCTTAACGTCCGAACGTCCTTTTTGACCTTTTTGAGTTCATACAAAAAGTTCGTTAATTTGCGGTAGGGATGAAATAACACGGAAGTGGTGTTAGTTGATTGGTTCAAAATAGATGCCTACGTAATGTGCCCTTGACGAACGTTTAGTTACTGCTTTGAAAGTTATATTAAATTTTATTACAAAAATTATGTTGCGTTCACAACAAATACCTCTGTGGTCGAACGGTTACCATGCTAGTTTGCTATGCACAGGTCCTGGGTTTGTTTCCCGGGCTGGAAGAAATATTTGTATAACCTACCTATTTCTCTCGTGAGTTTTGGTGTAATTATTAGTTGACTATATTATGTGTGTCCACTCGCAATACAAGGTTTCACTTGAGCAAGGCTATGAGTGTGTACGTCATTTATTTATTATTTATTATTATATCACCACATATTAAATAAATTTACTTACATTTCTGTGGTCATCACCTTTATTGCGGGTATTTTTAAATTATAACGATGGTAACAGAGAGGGTAGTGGGGTATAAACATGACCAACGGTTCTGAGCGAGCTCATTTTTCGGCCGACAATCGAACAATCTATAACTTTTGAGGATGCTTCGTAGAGAGGCGAAACACGTGTCGGGTATATTTTTGGTGCTGATGTTCGTGATTGCATTTGCGCTTCTGTTATTTATTTTATTAATGTTATTTAAAATTAAGCACACTAATAAAAATATTCCACCCTAGCGCAACTATTTTGCACGATTTAACCATTACTAGGGTTAGCGGAGAAGCAAATTAATTTACTTCCATTTTGATCAGGATATATCGCACTGTTATTACAATAGTGTTGTAACTCAAAATACGTGAAAATCAAGATTACACAATTGCTGAAAGCAAAATTTGATTCTCTATACGTCAATAAAACCGTCGTTAGAATATTGTAACAACAATAAAAGATATCTACTTAATTCAAAATCAAATTCTAATTAAAAAACTTCATATGAGCTAGGTCTGGACAAAACAGATTCATAAATGTGAAATTATCTTTCTTTTAACTATATTTGGCAAATAGGAAATTGTTTAGATGTTTGTAATAAACTTAAACCTATACATAAATTTCAATAATATTTCACGGGAAGTAAGTAATTAGTTTTTCATCGATTCTGAAAAAATAACACTTTTTGAGCTAATACAATATTGTATTAACAGTGCGATATCGTCGCTTTACTTTCTCAAACTCGTATCTTAAAGCACAAAGTTACTGTAATGCAAAAAATGGATTGTATTTCCAAATTTGGAGGCTGATTTCACATCACATTTTCTTCATATTCACACACTGGTTTTTACCTATTCTTAAAGTAATTCATCCAAATTAACACCTTTGATAAGAAATTTAAAATAAATAGAAAGTTTTGTCATAACGTGAATAATCGCTCTTTTTAAGACACGAGTTTGAGAAAGTAAGGCATCGATATATTATTCAGTTATTAGATGATTATCACACTGCCTCGCACCACGCAGCGGAGTGGGCGTGATGACGGATCATGCCCCCCGCTTTCCCGCGCGGAGACGCGTTGTCATTGGTTGTACGGCGCATGTTTTCTATACAAACTGAGATACTTCGGCACAACGTTAAAAAACATACCTCCGCACACCGTTGCGCGGAGTAGTGTGATTATCGCTTGATTGCGAAATTTTGCGTGATTATCATTGACTTACAAATAAATGGACGACGGGTCTAATACAAAAACCACGAAAAAAATGTCCCAAGTCAACCTATTCGAAATTTAAATTGTAATGTCATCGCAGTATCGCGCTGTCAGTAGAACAAATGAAGACTAAAGCGGAGTGTCGCGCTCTGTATACGATTTTAGCGCCTTACAAGTGCGGACACTATTTAGCGCGGACCCGACGTCCATATAATTGTAAGTCAATGGTGATTATGGTAACATTGAAACTTACGCTATATTATTATGAATACGTAATACGTAATACCCATACCAATCGATTACAAATGAGTTGGGCTGTGAGATCCCTGAGCAGGTGGCACTCGAGAGGTGGCGGTGGTGGGGGGCGGGGAGCGCGGGGCGCCTCAACGCACAGAGCCACCGTGTGGGCACTGCCGCACGCCACTTTCGTTACACGTTTGCCCTGTTGTTTAAGATTTAACGAATTACTCATATTGTTTTGTGTTTAGTACAGAACATTTTCCATAATTAATGGCGCCACTGTAGCAGAATCTAATAAAACAAAATACAATCAGAAAATGGTAACAAAATTGTTTTCATAATAATGTTTATTTATTTAAGACATTTTACAAAACATACACCAGCAAGTGGTCAAAACATTTATAAATTTTTTTTCTATAATATCAAGTGACGATACGAACAAGTCGTGCGCCTGATGGTGAGCTACACGCCTGTCCATAACAGTTGCAGTGCCACTCGGAGCTTCAAATCGCAAAGATCTGAGGGGCACTGCCACTGCGCCCGTCACCTTAAGACATATGTTCATGTTGTTGAGTCCCATGTGCCTGTAATTTCACCAGCACCCTTACCCTTCAAAACCGGAACACAGTAATGCTAACATTACTGTTTGTGTAATATTGTGACTCGAGTTATTGTGTTGTTTCATTTACAAAATACCACGGCATGCGTTTATACATAGGAGTATTAAAAAATAAAAGTAATTGAGTACTTACATATTAATTGTTTAAGCTAAATATTATATGTATTTATTGGTTACTCTATGTGTCAACTAATTAGGTACACGTTTGTTATTGCAACTTACAGCTTTAATTATTACAATAGTACATGGATGCATTTAAATGAATTACGTATTTTACATATAGTAACTTATTGAGAGGTCAAGTGTTCAATGTTTTACAATGCAAATGAAAAATTAATAAAAGAAGTACATGCTCGTACTACTTTATTAATCCGTGTTTTCGTTTTTTGTTTTTAAAAGGGGTTTATTTGTTTTTTGTTTCTCTCAGTACTCAGTGTAGTAGCCTGTGACATATAAAACTATCGAAACGTTGGTTTGTTTAAAAAATTAAATATACGGGATTTAGATCGGAAAAAAATGTTTCATTCCCTATATATAACAACCGCGAAAACATAAGAACTCTAAATCAACTATAATTTTTTTCATTAATTTGTTTTAATTTCGATTAAATTCTTTTTACTTGCCTGTAATGCCATAAGAGGTCTAGGTCTCTGAGCTGCTAAAGTAGTTCCGTCTCCCAGCTGTCCTTCATCGTTGTCACCCCACGTGTAAACCTCGCCCGTGTCCGTGCAAGCCACGCAGTGGAGACTTCCTACAAACGTAACTTTTGTTTGAAACTTGGAAAATCATCATTACATTAAGCGATTTTCTTTTAGAAATTTATAATGTACACTTATAACATTTTATTTAAAAAAAACCGACTTCTAAGTTTGTGGAATTACATCTATTTGCCAAGTTTTATTGAAGTCGGTTAACGGAAAGTGCGTGAAACCGGATTCATCCCCTAGCTTGCCGCCCTTAGAGGTGGAATATTTTCTTCAAATTTAAATGGGACCAAATACGTTTTTTGTTGGAAAGAGGGTACTTTCCAACAAAAAAGAATCATCAAAATCGGTTCGCTTATTAATCCAGATTACACAAAAAAAACACTCGAATTGAGAACCTCCTCCATTTTACAAGCCTGTTCGTTTACTGTAGGGTTGACGTGACAGCAAAGGGCCACATGAGTTGCTACATGCTACGCCATTTAATTTAAGCAGTTCAAGTTTAGAACGTGTTTTATTTTGCGAATTCATACAAACTCCTACAAATGAAAAATAAATTATTTGACAATAGTTTGTTATATTGAAAATTAAATAGTGAAATAGCTCACCTGTAGCAATTGACACAATCATTTTTCCCTGCATTCCTGTGACGCGCATTGGTCGTCTAACGTGTTCGTAGCTACCGTGCCCTAGTCTATGGTAATCTCCTTTACCCCTACAATTTAGAAAACAACTTATAACAACTTACGATTCAAAACTTACAACATAAAGATATACAAGCTTCTCGAAGACGTTAAGTAATAATAATATGCCTAGAAACCACACAATTCCCTGGTCTCAAACTAGGGAATTCCTCGTGAACACCTACACCAGAACCAATTTTAAAAAAAATCCCGCAAATGGGTCCTACCGGGAATTGAACCCGTAACCTCCTCACGTTACGTCAACGTCCTTATTCCACATCAAGTCAAATTGGACTTTTAAAATTTAGGAGTTTTCTTTACCTTCCATTGTCCATAATGGCAAATGATGTGTAAATTAAAAAAAGCGTACCAAGTATAAACACTCCCACACTGACACAGGGCGACGGAGAACTGCGAGCCGCATTCGACTTTGGTCACACGCAACCCTTTCAGGCAATCTATTCTCATTGGCAGCTTGCAACCTTCCGAGCCACCGCGACCTAAAATAAATGTCAATATGCTTCTGCTTACAAAAAAAACAAGCTTATCTTCAGTCTCGTATTTTTAGGGTGATATTACAATAAAGACTAGTCCCATATCTTTCTACATAAGGTTTATTTGTATGACCCTCCCTATCAACTTCTTGGTTATACGGGAAGGACACTATAACCTGTACAAGCAATCCCGCTCAGGGACATTCTGTCAGGTCCTGACCCCAGATCAGCCTGTTTGCACTGACTTCATCCAGCTCTCAAAAGGCTAGTGTGCCTTGGGGAGCTGCCCCGGGTGTTCGTACAGCACCCTCCCTATTTTCCAGATAGATACCTGAGCTGTAGGCACACTCATATCCTGTAGCGCAACTAACGCTTGCCACCGCTAACCCGTTGACTCTAAAGTCCCCTACCAAATCTCCTTTTTGGTGGTGGAGCTATAGGCACGATAAAATGTATAGACAGTTGAACATTACCTAATTTCCCATAATCACCATCTCCCCATGACCACACGTTGTCATCGTCGGTGATGCACAGAGTTTGCGCGTCGCCAGATCCACATGCCACGTCTATAACTCGATGCGTAGCTAGCGCTTCCACCTGTAAATTAATAAACTATACTGTGTATAATTGGAACTAATTTCTAAATCGTCCACGAAGTAAATTATTTTTCTCACACATGCTTAATGGGTTGTCGTTTATGAATGTCGTTTATCATTTCTTCGCATTGTCTAAGAAAAGCACTTTATTTACCTCGGCGGGAACGGGGATTGCCTGACTCGTATAATAGAAGGTATGTAACTCACACTCGTCCGGCAATCCTTTATTTCCCGGCCTGTGCAATGATATACTAGTTTTATTTACTTGTGCTGTTTAGTTCAGATCATGATTATTTTCTCTGGCAGACTTCAATTTCGAAAGTAAGGCGAGTGGATATGACTTAATTATGATCATTTTTCTTTGAAAACATACATCTTTATACTTTTTAGGTATATCTTACTTTTCTAATTGATTACGTGTACCCGCTTACCATCTTAGGAACAAGTTGATCCTCCGAATCTCCATGTCCCAGTCGCCCGTATCGGCCTTTGCCCCATGTATAAATTCGCCCGCGAGCTGTCAAACAGGCCGAGTGAGCCCCACCACAGGCTATTTGCACCACTTCTAAGCCTGACAGCGAAGATATAAGCTTTGGTCTGTCATAGCTCCTGTTTGCGAGGAAAAATAAGAATTACGGTATACGAAATTGGTGAGGAAGCTGTGATGTAATCAGTAGTCGTTAGAAATAAGGTGACTGTAATTTTAAAAAGTTATAAAAAAGTTAGACACTTAGAAATTCATATACAGTTAGTACGCTAATTGAAACTCTTAAGAAAGTGAATATAAACATATAGTGTGAATTATCATGTACTTACACTCTATTTCCATGCCCAAGTTTGCCATCTTCGCCTTCACCCCAGCTATAAACATCTCCATCAGCAGACAAAGCAAGACAATGCTTTCCTCCTGAGTTACAGGCCACCTAAAGGGTCAATTTATATTATAGATTGATCATCGAAAGCCATGATTTGAGGAAAATGGGAAAAAATCCTTCTGAACATAAATAAATCGATTGACATTAATCATAGATCTGGTGTAATTCAACTATCGAAAAACTAGGGAGTTGATTAAAGCGATAGAAACTGGGGGGTAGACTCCCGTTATCCATCCCAAAACAATTACTGTCGAAGTTATATTCGACCAATTAAAAGATGCGTGATGCGAATGAAGCTTCATACTTTGACATTGCGTTTTGATATGGTCGAGCTTTACTTAACTTATTTGACAGCAATTGTTCCGGACGGACGTCAAACGGGGAACGGAAGTAGACCCTCCGAGTCCGTACTTTATAATTTGCGCTGGGTATAAATTTGTCGTTATTGAGATTTTTTTGTGAATTAACTCCACTAATTTCGTTATGTTAATACAAAGATCGAACACATATAAATTTTTTTCTTCGACCCGATAGGACTTGAACCCATGAGTTCTACTCATGGTGCCGTAGTGCTGCTCTAACCAACTAAGCTACGGGTCACGCTATCCAGTTGTCGAAATTCTCCTAAGTGTTTTTGTTATAGATCTTTGTACTGGATTTTTCGGCATTCACCTAGTGACATCTAGTGAGAGATATTAGAACCTTCTCGCTGCAACCATTCCGTTGACAATAATGCAATTATGTCATTATCAATAATGCACAAGTTCGCAACTAACCTTGGTAATAAACACGTGTTGTATTGATGCTAACAGTGTCGGTTGTGACACTGAATCTATGCCGCCTATACCTAGTCGTCCACCCGCTCCGTAGCCTGCAAACCCACATATTTTTTATTTAACAAAGAGGTGTTACAGATATCACATATACCCATACTATAGTACTACTATACTATAGTACGTGTACTACTGCCATGTAGGTACACGGCAGTAGAAAGCTGAAGGTTAGAATTTGAATAGACACAGTCGTTTTATTTTGAAAAATTGTATTTTAACAATAAAACTACTTAATTTCTTTATTGGTATTTTTCATCAGGTGGACAATCTGAACGTTAGTCAGTGTGAAATTGAAACTCAAATAACTTTTATTTCATAGGTTAGCAAATTACACTTGAAATCGTGACATTGATTAAACTCTACTCATTCGCAAGGCAGATTCCGCTGAGAAGAATGAGTAAGAAAGTCTAGGTGTTGCTTTTGGTTGTCATCAAAACAAAAGAAGCTGTATAATAATAACATTTAATGTAATATGTTTGTTTCACTATAGTTTTAAACCTAGTAAACGGCAAATTTTGAATATCAACCGGAATCTTATAATAGAAGCATATAATACATTGCCCTTTAAAAGAAATTGTGAAAATAGTCCTCGTATTAATGTTGTTATAATTATTTCTCATAAAAACTTACCCTTCTTAACATAAATAAAATTTCAAATGTACTATAACACTAGTGCAAGAATGTTTATTTCTTTAATTTTTTCACTCACACTCTGGGCCTCGATTGCAGATTGCCCTAACCGCATGTATTTACAGGACAAAAATTCTATTAATATAGCGGGATTACTTCAAAGAAAAATGCTGTATTTTATTAAACTGTGAAAATAGCATGCAGTGTACATAATAAACGATAACTATGACCATAAATTACAGCTGTACTATTAGCGTCACCATTGCGTCTATTTTAATAATAACCCAAGCTTACCAGTGGCATAAACTTTTCCATCAGGCGTTACAGCAAACAATGTCTGTTCTCCTCCAACTAATTGCACAGGGTTGAGAGCCGCAAGCGCGTGACAGGGTGTTGGCGTTCGCACTTTGGCGCCCTCTACTCCGCCAAGTTGTCCGCGATGGTTGTGCCCCCAGCCGTAAACGGCGCAACCGCGAGAGCCACCGCCCCACCAGCCAGTCCAATCTTCTGGACGCCTTAGACAAAAATAGCACAAGTTAGTCTTCCTCGCAATGGCACCACGTTTATAAAATGTGGTATTTAGATAGAATGTCAAAGAAATTCATATTTTGGTACTGTAACGTACTAGACTGTGTCTCTATTGCGCAGCTGTGTTTTCATCTACCGTTAAAAAAAATATATTTTTTTATCAAAATCGTTAGGGACTCAGTATGACTCTACGCAACGCGCAACGGATTAAAACGAATACATATTTAAAATTAATACTCGCCATAAACATTTTTCGGTAGTGAAACAATCATCTAACACTAAAAACGAAAGGAACGACACTTACTTATTAACCCAATGCAGTAACTGTTCATCGTGTTGTTTACTGAATTTGCTGTTATTCTCCCAAGGATATTGTTGATCGGTGCTGTTCTCATCAATGTTATAGACCCCAAGGTCGGATAGTCTTTTCCGAACATCAGCGAGGAAAGGCATGGGCATGGGTACGCGACGCAAGAGAGCGTCGGCGGTACGAATGCAGAGGCAGTATCGTTTGAACCACGCCCAGCGCAATGCTTCGGGGCCATTGCAGACGCGAGTATCCATACGAAGGCCACATGCTAGCCAGGCTAGTTCCTTTAAAAAAAGTTAATAGTAACAAATTATTGCAAATCCAGGTGTAGTGGAACCAGAAGGTGGGGAGTGGGTTAAAAGCCAATCAACCCGCCAGGTTTTAACCCATTTCTGCCTAAAATCGTGAACAGAAAGTGCAAATACTAAATTTGGTATAATGCCATACTTATTACAAATTTTGATGTAAAAAATACTTTTTTAGACGAAAAACCCACCTTGCAATCCACAGGAGTGGATTCTCTCTAATTAAGTTCGATTCAAGTGCTACGATCTAACGATTTTTTGTATCGATTTATTTCTATATATATTTTTAATGCGATTTTCAAGTGAATCTATTCAATAGAATGGCAAATCGAATCGTCTAGATAAGAAAGCAATAAATATTTTGTAATAATATCATTCAATTCAACAAAACTCGATTTACAACAAATATTTCGTTTGAGCGTTAATGGGCTTTAATCGGATTTAAACCCGGCGTTAACAAAATGCAGGATTAAAATCCGGGCGCTTGTCCATCTCTTCATCATTCTCTAATGGTCAAACTACGGTATTTATGTAGAGTACTGACTAATAACTAAGCTTACCTTGAGATAATGAGTGTGCAGCAAATGCGTGCCAGTCCGCAGTGCAGGTTCCTCTTGTTCGTACTGCGCCTGCAGCAGTTGCGGTAGATGGTGCAGTGCGGGAGGCGTGGCAGCACCCGCCTCGCCGTCCCCTCCACACACTACCCCGCGCAGGCGACGTACACACCACACACGGGCACGCCACGCTAATAAGGATATATCCATTGATTATGTTTCATTGGAAAGAGAAAGAAAGAACAAATAACTCTCACGTCAACATAAAAATATATAATAGAACTTACACAAAGTAGGCATTTGTGCACAAATAGCAAGCGCCTGAGCCAATCGCGGCGCGAGCTGATGGTCATTCGATATAGCGGCTAACAGCGGTCCGTCCAATAGACGCCAAGCTAGCTCCACTGATGGACATGAGAGGACATAGCGGTCCGAACCGGTCTCCTGTAAGAATTAGGATTATTGGTGCTATGAGCATCATTACATATACAGCTAATTGTGATTTGTCAGTATTGATAGAATCGATGCTACCACAAACAGTAAGATTTTATTAAGTTCATTTTGAAAACTTACAACTTTAAAGTCAATATAATATTGGTGCTTACGGCAATTGTATGCGATGGCAAAATGGGATGCGCGGTGAATCTCCAGCCCCAGCCATTGACGGAACTATCGCTTGTAAATCTCCAACGAAGCTCGTCACCTGTTCATCGGTAAGCAATTAAAATCAAAATCTTATTTACAACCGTTGGTGCAACAAAACTCACGAGTGTTTACAGCACTTATTAGAGTTTTTTCCTATGCATTTCTTTTTTCTATTTATTTTGGTACATACAAAGAGTCATTACAAAATGATTAAGAAAAAATTTAAACAATGCAATAACGAGTATCGAACATTACACTGAAATAGTAATAACATAGGCTAAAAGGGCGTAAAGGTATAAGAAAAAAACAAATAAATATTTTTGATCCAAAAACAAATAGTTAATTCTTACTTTTTTTTAAATACTAATATTTAATTTAATAATATTATTATATTAAAATTAGTGTTATTAATTAAATACCGTTGACAATGATCTCCTGCGCCCAATCAGCGGGCTCCCTTCCCGAGCGCGTGGCCAGCACGCGCCCACAAGCATCCGAGATCGTGAGCGGATCGTTGCGCCGCTCTGTGGAGCAACCTTGCTCAAATACCACTCGAAGGGATGACGCACCCGGAACTTTGACAACGCCTAGAAGGTGAACATACGGGCTACTTATATACCTAGCTTACTTGTTAACTAGTCAATCAAAACCGACACACTTTCCATCAATGTCGTAAATTAGGTTTACAAAAGCTCAATCGGCCGAAATGCAGTCTAAAAGACAAGACCTGGCACAAAATTATGTCCAGATAATTGACAGTTCAATTTAAACTATTCATAGTGATATGATTATTAATACAAACCTCGAACACACAGATTTTTTTTGACCCGGTGATAGAGCAATGCTACGGTGCAGCATGGTCGTGATTTCAAGTCCCGCCAGATCGAAGAAATGTTTCTAAGTGTTCGATCTCTGTATTAATAATCATAAGAAAACTAGTGAAGTTAATTAAAAAAAACCTCAATAATACATTTAGTAGAAATATAGAATAAAAATCCTTTTAAAAATCCTTTTTCCTAAAAATCTGAGACAAAGGCTATTTTATTCCAAGTACCTCAAAGTTAACATTTCTTACCGGAAATATCAGTGTCGTCAGCATACGGATGAGGACTGTCGACGGTGACCGGTTGAGGCGGTGCGCGACCTCCGCCTGCTGCGGCTTCTTCCAACTCGCACACGCAGACTTCCACCACCATGTCCGCCACCGCTGACTTACTGGCACATAGCGCTAAAAGAAAAATGAGCTAGTGTTAATTTACAACTTGGACATATTAACTTGTATGTTAACACGACAAGTTAATACCATATGAAGTGGTCAATCGTGTACGAAAGCTTCTTCGAGCTGAATCTAAGAAATGACGGTCCGAAATGTCACAGGGATCATTTTATCTCTAGGTGTGCAAGCGATATTCGTATTTTTTTGGATACGAATCGGTCTTAGTGCACAAGCAAGCAGTAGAGCTTCTTGTGAAAGAGTTCGTCCACTGAAGTACTGCCACCTTATTTCTGCCGCCAAGCAGTAATGTCAGCATTACTGTGTTCCGGTTTTGAACGGTAAGGATGCCGGTGAAATTACAGGCACATGGGACTTGTCAACTTATGTCTCAGGGTGACGGGCGCAGTGGCAGTGCCCCTCATCATCTTTGCGACTTGAAGCTCTGAGTGGCACAGCAACTGTTATGGACAGGCGTGTAGCTTATCATCAGGCGCACGACTTGTTTCGTCCCGTCACTTGATATTATAAAAAAAAAAGCGATTTCCGAAGTGGGTCCCGAGTTTTCTACATTTGTATAGTCTCGGATTCGGAACGAATACGAATCGGATGCAATGCGTTAACGCGATTAGGTACATAACCAAAGGCCTTTTCCTCCGGTCACATAATAATTGTTATATCTACCGTCCGCTAACTAAATGACAAAATATTTTATTGAGATATCATATAAACCATAACCCAGTTTTAGAATATTGAAATTGTTTAATGATATTTCAGCTATGCATCGTTAGGGTAAGTTCCGATAAGAACACGTTAACTTAATTTCAAATGTTTTTAAGAGAATTTTGTGCTGTCTTTTGCTATTTATAACGGACTTTCGACCATTTGCCACTTAGCCGCATTTTAGTTAATGGACGGCAGATGTGTACGCCTTTTGCTTATTTAAATCAAGAATAAATGCATTTGATGAAATGATTATACATGCTTACCCATCAACACATCAGTGATAATTTTCACAGCGTTATTAGAGTCCGGTATTCTTCCAGCCGCAGCCAACTTGAGCAAATCAACGAGCGCTCGTGCATCGGATTCACCGAGCTGCGACGTGAAGTCGTCTAATACCATTTTGGGAGCCTCAGCTTGCTGCACAGTCATTGTAGCTGCGGCAACTGATACTGCGCTCGAGGACATCACTGCTGAGTGGCGGGATGATATTGAACCGCTTAAAGGGCTGCTGGCACCACTCTAACAAAATGTACGAAAATGTACTAAGTGAGAAGGTATAAACGATCTCATGGTTTGCCATGACAAATAGGAAGGGGCAGTTAATATATTACAAGATAAGTATAATAGAGCCATACGCAAAAAATGGACATTATCGTATCTCAGTGATTGAAGCTACACATTGACTGCCAATAAGTGGTGATTATGACAAATCGTTTGTGGCGGCACAACTCTAGCCAGACTGCGAGCTCTAGCAATGCAGGCGACGGCGGCGGATCGCGCGGAAACCCGCATGAGACAGAGGCAGTCCGGTTGCGAGAGCCGCCAGTGTCCACCCAAATCATATATATACAAATAGATATAGAAGTATGCTTGAAAACCAAGCATGTACGGCAATTGTACCGGAAACGTAGTCCTGTCTGCAGGCGCCTCTCCACCACCAGTGCGGGCGTCTGTTTCGATGTCGTCCTCCTCGGCATCGATACCTGCAGCTACGGGCACGCTCGTTGAACACGCCTCGTGTGCACGTAACGCTTCCACTACTAGAGTACGAGCCTGGATACATCATAAAAAAATATAATAATAATAATAACATAATACCATAACGCGCACACACTCATAGCCCCGCACCACGGAAACCCTGTATCGCGGACACACATACAGACAACCACAAATTACACCCAAACTCACGAGAGAAATAAATGTAGGCCATACAATTATTTCTCCTGACACGGGAATCGAACCCGGGACCTCTGCGTGGCAGTCCGGCATGGTAACCGTTCGGCCACGGAATCAGTTCTCTATATATTTTTCTCTTATAGCATTAACGGTTTAGTAGCAGTAGAGCTCCTTGTGAGAGTCCGTCCAGGGAAGTACTGCCACCTTACCCATTTCTGCCACCAAGCAGTAATGTTAGCATTACTGCGTTCCGGTTTTGAAGGGTAAGGGTGCTGGCGAAATTACAGGCACATGGGCCTTGTCAACTTATGTCTCAGGGTGACGGGCGCAGTGGCAGGGCCCCTCAGATCTTTGCGATTTAAAGCTCTGAGTGCGACTGCAACAGTTATGGAGAGGCACGTAATTTAACATCAGGCGCACGACTTGTTCGTCCCGTCACTTGATGTTATATATTAAAAAAAACTAATTTTGTATAGACGACATAGTACTATGTAACATAATTATATTATCATTTATGTTATATTACGGTTATTAGATTCAACAAGTTCCAGAGATTAATATTACTTTTCACTTCTCATGCTCTTAAAGTTCGTATTTATGCTGGGTGTAGGCTACATAAAATAGGATTTCATGCTCTAGTGCATAAAATAAAAAACCATCACATTAAATATGTCTAATTGTTGTAATTTTACATTCAATTTTAATTAAATAATCGTTTATTTGTAATATTACTGTTTGATTTCCTCGCAATCGAAGTGAAAAGCAGAGTGTATAATAACTCGTTCATAAAACCCATTTTACCCGAGACGAGTATATCTGCCGCAGGCGAGAGTGGATACTTAGTCGAGGAGTCTTGGTCGACGCGTTTTTTGCACTTATTGTACAATCTACTATTACCTTTGCATGCAAAATTATAGACGTAACAAACCTGAGTAATATGCAATGCAAGCAAAATGAGAGACAATGCATGTTGAACAGCGACTGGTGGTTCTAGAGCCAGCGCTGCAGCTGCTAGGGATGGACGAGGTCCTTGCGGTTCTTCTACTATTGTTTCTTCTGAATATAAACCTGTGGCATAATTTAAAAACTTATCACTGATTTTTCGCTATGAAGAAGAAGAAAAAGAACAAGGAGAAGAAGAAAGAACATAACGAACAATGTATAAATTTTAAGTAGTTTTCTTGTACGCATAGGCACCGTAAAGGCTAATTAGCGATCAACAAAAACGTCTGACAAACTTGCATTATTATGGTGGCACTTCACATCATATAGCTATTTGTATTTCCGTATCTGATATATTTGGCAAACAATCACCATGTGTATGATAGCATGTGTGGTCAAGTATTTGCCTTGTTTGTCTATTCGACAAATACAGCAAACACCAAACACGCGTCACTGCGCGTTGATTGGTTTCTCGACGCACACCAAAGAGGTCAAATAGGCAAAAACATGTAAGTAAACCGTCCACACTCTGGCATATTCATTATTTTAATAACTCCTTAGTTGGCTCCACGACATATAGACGATCATATTTGTCTGTAACTACATGTTTGTCATGCGTCAAATATTTTTCTAAGTATAGTAAAGACCTAACAGCGTATACGAACAGCCATGTGAAATGCCGCCTTTACAGAAATACTATATATGCTCACAAAATGGCAAACCATCGCACCCACAACGAGGCGTTTTAGTAAAATAATGTCAATAAATTTCATTTCAATTGTTTACCAAGACTTTGGGCTCCAAGAGGATCCTTCAAGCTGGGGAAAGGCAACGGCGCAATATGAGGTGTATGCTGCTGCGCCTGTAAAGCAGCAGGTCTCAGAGACCATGCGGCGGAGTGAGAGGAACCGGCAGCGGCCCGCTGTACGCCTTCGACGCCTGCTACAAGCGCGGGTCGTCGGTTGACACAGGTCGTGCCGTTACCTTGTTGGCCGTGGTCATTGTCACCCCACGCCCATACCTGAGGGAATTGAGTGATAGGTGATCGGAAGGTTTTCTTGCTGTTGATTCAACTTAAGTTAGCGAATATGCTCCATTATTTTGGCTAGTAACAAATGAAACTCATTGAAAATTATAGATATAGACACGAACTAAAGACAATTTAACTTTTCAGTGATTTTTAATCCTTGAGAAAATAATGAGATTTTTTTATATTAAAAAGTTTCATCTACAAATCTATCGTAATTATTTGAATGATCGTATTACTATAAAAGTCTGAAAACGAGTGTTGTCTCGCTCACACAACAAGGCTCGCGTCACGGCCGATTGAGATAGAAAACAAATATTACAAAGAACCTTATATACACGCGCGGCCTCTGGTCCTCTTGAAACTGTATTACTTAGCTGGCGCTGAAAACTGTGAGTAAAATTGCCTATTGACCAAAAGTTTTCGTTGTAAGACCATTATGTTAATTTTTAACATTTATCATCAATATATATAATATAATAATAAATTATAAAATAAATATAAATATAATTTTCAAAAGTAAATATCAAGTCTATCCAAGCGGTATTAATAAGTGGACTAACCTGATTTTCACTAGTGACAGCAAGGCAGTGCAACGCTCCAACAGCGACGTGAATGACCTTGCGCCCACGCAGCGCCTCAACTATCGTCGGTCTTCGCACGTGCGCATCACATCCATGGCCCAGACGATAATAGTCGCCTTTGCCCCATGTCCATACCTTCAACAAAAACCAAAAAATTCGTCATCACGGGTGTATAATAAAAATTTAAACATACATTATTTTCTTTTTTTATTGAATTGATATTCAATTACTTTTTGTGAAATTACTCCACTAGTTTGTTATAATTATTACATTTTTTTTACATTATTTTATAATCGCCATGATGTACCATCAAGGCATACTAAATGTAATTGTACATATTGTATATCGTAATTTAAAATTTTTATTTATTTATTTTTTTATAATAACAAAATAATGTAATTTATTGCTTATTTATTATTGCATCATGATTAGTACACAAAATATTTTATTTTGATTGATATCAGGATGTTTTTAACTACCATGATATTCACTTATTTTTTGGGAAAATATTCCACTATTATAAAATTATTTTACTCGCTGTGGACTTGGCCATAAATCATCGGAACGGGATTGCGATATTGCGCTCCCTCTCACACTTGCTCAGTGTTGAGCGTACGCGATGCGTGCACAAGCCCGTTATCGATAAAAACAAAGAAATCACTAAGGATGCGCTGGCGGTGCTGTGTTCTTATCAGCTGCTATAATTTAAATATCACCACATTTTTTTATTTTAATACCATTGTTAACGTTATCAATAACTTGTTAAAAATTTTTAGTTTATTTATTTATTTTTTTAGTTAAAGTTTTTCGCTCGCCTCCTTGATCTTACCAGTTTTAGATTCTTAATATTATTTTGTATATTTAATTTGAATTATACGTATTTAATAAATAAATTATATTTTATTTCCGTTCCCACTTTCATTATTACAACATAATGAAACGTCATCATATCGATAGCGTTTATTAACTGCAGTAATGCACAGCTTTGCACTTACAGGCCCGTACCCTATTGGTAAGTGGGAGAGAGAGCGCAATACCACTTTCCCGGTTGGATAATATATGGCCGAATCTGCAGCGATATTTTTTTTATTAATATTGGTACAAAGGTCGAACAAACACAAAGAATTATCCTTCGATCCGACTGGACTCGAACGGTGTCTGTTGCTCCAACTGGCTACTAGTCTTAATAATGGTACCCTAAATAGCATCCCAAACAACCATGGACCCAGTCGTGGCACTGCATCCACTAATTGCAAATAAGTATTCGACAATTACAATTTTTTCTCATATAAATTATTAAGTTTTTAAGTCATTATCTCAATTAAGTAAAGTGATTTTTTTAAGCAACAAAGTAATTAATTGTACTTTAATTCAATAAATACTTAATGAAGCTTCACCATATTTATAACAAAGTGATTAATGCTACTTACTATATATATTTATTTTAATTTTAATTTTTTTTCTTTCTTTTTTTGGAAGTTTTACTGTAGAATGACGATCGCAAACGTATTTAGTTGTCCTTAGTTAATTACGATAACCATAAGTTCTAAACATACCTCCCCATCTCTCGTCAGCGCTAAGCTGAACTGTGCGCCACATTCTACTTGAATAACACCAAGAGTGTTTAATCTCTCTATGTTCATAGGTACTGCGCAACCATCGGAACCTCCACGACCTACGAAAACAAATTAGTTAATAGTTCGTTTCAATCCATTATACAGAAAAGAGTTAGCTACTTTATGGTAGGTTTAGTAATGGCTAGTTATACTGCCAACTACAAATCAATTAATTAATTGAATTTATCAGTTGGAATCAGAGTTCTATTTGCGATTTCACTGCTAATTACGTACGTTACATACGTAGGATTAGTGTATAGTTCCTTGTTCCAGTTATTGAGTGATTGCTTTAGAATTTTAACCAACCCGGTTTGTTTACTTTTAATGTATAATGGATTGAAACAGACTACAATTTGATTCTGAAAGTAGACAACGTAGTACATTTTTAAAGTAGGTAAAGTAGCGACAATGTTGGGATTCTTACCCAATTTTCCAAAGTCACCGTCTCCCCAAGAGAAAACTTTACCACAAGCTGTGAGAGCTAACGTCTGTGCGTCACGTGACCCACACGCGACTTGCACCACCCGAAAACCAGCTAGCGCTTCCACCTAAAGACAACAAAACATATCACCATTTTTGTATCCGAGTTATAGATATAATTTTCTTATCAGTTCTAACATAAAAACATGAAAAACCTTATTTTCCTGCTAACTTTGCTTTCGTGGTCAGGACAACACAAAATTTAAATTTGCGTACCATTAAGAAAACGTACAAATATTTCGAGTTCGTCTTTATTTAAAGACAAAAAGGAACATTATAATTCGATTAAGTTTAGTACTGCTTAACGACAAAAATAGGTAAGATGGCAGTACCTCACTGGACGAAGTCTTTCTCAAGGAACGCTACTGCTACTAAATACCACTATGTAGTTATGTAAAAATAGGCAGCTATATAAATACCATTGTGACAGCCACAAAAGCAAATATTTCAGGGGTGTAGATACTCTTTTCTACATACTTGCTGGTCAATTAAAAAGAAACCATTACTATCAAACCAGAAATAGAACAAAACATTCGATTTATCTTGCAAAACTTTTCACAAGCATCTTACCATTTTGGGTAATAGCTGCGTCATATCATCACCATGTCCCAATCTCCCATACTCGCCCAAACCCCACGTGTAAAGATGTCCTCTTGCAGTGACGCATGCGCTATGTGCCGATCCACAAGTGATACCGACAACTCGCTCGCTCGATAGAGCTTCTATCGGCCGAGGTACTTCCAGTGTTATACGGTTGCCGTGGCCTAGTTTACCGTCTTCACCTTCGCCCCAAGAGTATACCTGGAATAGTACATTATTGCAGACGTCAGGAAATAAAGGTTTGTCGGGCGAGAATGGTCAGGAAACCCCCGTTCCCGCCGAGGTGTATATAGCGCTTTTCTCAAACAATGCGAGAAAATTATAAAAGATTAAAGAATAAACAAGAATGTATAATAGAAAAATGTAATCATAAATTTTAATGTATTTTTGTTTGCTCTTGGCCGGAAACAAGTTTTAAATTAGACTGAGTACAGTATATTGTTGTATTTTCGCTCATCTTAGTAGAACTCACTTTCGCGAAGAAAACATAAAAAATACAAAAAAATAGAAACAATAAACAAGGAATGTAAAGTAAATGAAAGTATTTTCGTTTACTTTACCGCTTCGGTTTAAAGCATGTGGTGCAGGTATGTTTGTGCAACATAATCAAACGCAAAACAAAAAAGTACCTCAGAAAGTTTTTTTATATTCGCGCCATTACGGACACTGATGTATATGAATGAGCAGTTGGCTGTATGACAGTTTTTCAGTAGTCTGTCTACATAGCTCTTTGTTAGTAGACATATTTAGTTTGAAAGCAGAGGGCAGAAATGGATTTACATACTTATTTTGACGGCAAAGGATTGCGCAGTCCATAAATTACAAACTTTGTGGGTTCTATTTTTGAAAGTAATGCAGACATTTCCGAACAATGTTTGAGAAAATATATTTTAGTGTCAATACTGTAAATATATTGGTATAAATTACAGCAGTATACTGAAATCATAATTAAATCACTGGAAATATTTTAATATACACTTACTTTTCCGTCAGCAGTAAGAGCTAGCGCATGTTTTCCACCTGAATGTACGGCGACGCGGCGAATCAATACGTGAGAGAGATAAGGGTTTGCTCGGGGCGTAGAAACATTATTACTGTGTCCAAGACCTAAGCGACCGTTCGTGCCTTCGCCACAGGCGTATAGCTGTAAATACAACGCCAAGTCAGGAATGTGCAGTAAGCAGACAAAGTATAAACAACCTTCTAAATAGATTTTCAGGTTATATACTTTCGTGTTGCATTGTACTAACATTTGAAACGGGATTAAATGCGTAAACCTACCCGAGAGTCAGCCCGTGACCATGGCCAGTGTAACCTGGCCGAAACGTCGGGAATAATAATAATAATAATAAACACTAGGTAGGTGTGAAAAATACCTATTCGTATGTAAACACGTTTATTCCCGTTTCCAAATGTTATATTTACAGGTTGTTACAATTCAGATAATGATAAGAAAATCTCGATCTTATGCTACTTAAGGCTATTATTTTTACAATTTAGATTTTTTTATTTTACGATAGCTAATGACAGGATGGATGAACAATAGTGCGCCCGTGGGAAGCGATTCGCCTGTCTATAACAGGTGCAGTGTCGCTTGAGCTTTGAATAGCAAAAATCTGAGGGGCACTGGTACTGCGTCAGTCGCCATGAGACATAAATACCCTTCTAAACCGGAACGCGATAATGTGCACATTACTGCTTGGATGAACTCTTTCACAAGGAGCTCCGCTGCATTTAGGAAAATGTTGCCGCGGTTAGTTTGATATGGAGGTAAGTTGAAATCCTGTATGAACTAATTACAAAAAAAACTCTTTATACATGGGATGGTACCTTGCCGTCATGTGAAACGATAAACAAAGTCTTCGAGCCGCCAGCAATATGTACTGGCCTCAAAGCGCTCAATGTAGGTGAGAACACTGGAACTTTAACTTTGGATCCCTTGACACCGCCAAGCTGATCTTTATCGTTTAGTCCCCATACGTATACCTGCAAAAAGTACTTCCGTGAACGTCATGTAATGGGAAAATTACTTACAATTGGTTTTAATACTTTCGATCAGTTTACCTTCGGGCAATCATTAGGCAACGAAGGCGGGTTGTTATCAACCGATATTGCACCCGTAGGATTATCTTTTTCCATCCAGTCTTCTGCCACGAAGTTCATACTCTGAAAACAATTAATATGTTACAAACTCAAAACCAACACGCATGAAATAATATCGAAAAAACACACTCATGCCGTGTTAAAATATCTGTAACTATAGTCAATTTAAATAGGGATGAGTTCTGTGACACTTCTAATGTTTACGTTGCACGCATACGATTTATAACTAATCTGTCAACCAGGTTACAAAAATAAATAGTAAATTTGTTATAATGTATCAAAATCAAACAATATTTGTTGTAGACGTAATTTTAAGTAAAAATTGTGGTATATTATGTAAATAGAAAATGAAATATGTAATAAATATAAAAATAAAATATCCCAACTGCTTGATGCGTAAAACGGATTATTAATCCACAGAGATTTACACCATGGAATCGATAAATCGAATCGGTTCTTGCATAACTCGCGTCAATACGAGGCATTTACATAGCTTGTTAGCGGGTTTTATTTTGTTTTTAGCTTTGCGTGATCTTTTTGGAGTAATTGTTCAAATTCCGTTTCGTTGCTGTTAATTTTGTGCCTTTTTGTTGACTTTTTGTTTGGTTGTGTAGTGTTTAGGGACAGACCCAACATAAATTACCCTAATTACTTAATGTGTAAAACGAAATATTTATACGTAGATTTTACACTATTACTTTGTTCATTAGTTCTTCTTAAATTATTTTCTGTAAATCGATTTTCTCTTCGTTACAAATTATCTCGATAAGATATTTAAATCGATTTTTTTTCATGCGATTGTACATCACTACATCTCTAGAAACTTCAAATTTCAACCGTCACTGGAATCATCCCCATTGAAATGGACTATAGTGATAATTATTAAGTGAATAGTCGCGACTCTTAAAAATCTATATTACTTACATAAAACTATACACATACGTCAAAGGTGTCTAGTCTGTCTTTTTTGAAGACGGAGTAAAATGACATTTGTAGGGTTGTTGATTAGCTAAGTAGTTGTTGTCCATAGTTTTATCGATAGATTGTGAAAGATATTTTTTATGCCAAAAATGACTAAATTGTGAATGTTATGACGTTTTAATGAAAACTAATTGCGTTATTTCCTTCTTTATTCTTATTCTGACAGTTGGGCTACAAGTATCGAGATAAATTTTTATTCATATACATTTTAACCAGAATAGATAGATTTGATTGTCTATGAATTCACATTAAGAACTATAAAACATGTCCCCTCTTTTTTCATAAATATAGTTCTAAATACAGTTTATGTATGTATGAATATCGAGGATTATTCAATTGAAACAAGTTCGGCTATTTATTGCATACGCGTGATCAAAAATCAGTCAATAGTCGATAGAATATCTATCGACTGCAATCACTAGCTGCTCGCAAGCGGGTAACACTTTTGCTCAATGAACTTGTCATTTTACTCCGTCATCAAAAAAGACAGAATATCTACAGATAGACTATAGGAATCGACCACATTCTTGCCTATAACTGAAAATCAGGTTTTTTAATTTTTTTTAAACCGATGCTTTTTTTATTCAAATTTGTATTTGAATATGAAATATAACCAAAAAAAATCTATAGGCGTAAAAATTTTTTTATTAAAAACCGTGGTTTTCAGTAACTAGCAAAAACTTGCTTGATCCCAAGACACTTTTGATGTGTGTACATATGCAAATACGTCTTTGAAAACCATAAACAATTCGAGTGATTGTGAACTTACTTGCAGAACTTCCGTGTAAAGCGGATTTGGCCTGAAGCCTGTGATGTAGAGTCCGTGTACACGACAGTCAGCGTTTACATTGCGGTTCTGTTTTATTCCGATCTCAATGCATGGGTAATACTGAAACCGGTAAATAGTTTCAACAAACATTACATTGAATTTTACTCTACCTCAACAATTTAAACATTGTAACATGTAAACATTGTAACGGTTCTACAAAATGGTTTTCCACTACGCAATATTGCGGAGTTTTTAAAACTGTATTAAGTAAGTAAATTCTTTATTCCCTCCGCAATTTGCAACAGTAGAGGGTGACAAATTAGTGGTTTATACAGGACAATTTGTAGAGGCTCCATCCTAAACTAATGTACTCTGTATTTTAGGTTACCAGGGCTCCAGCCCCATAAGATCTTATACTGATTACCTGAATATTTCTGTTAAAAGTCGCCTTCACAAATATCTCAAACGAGGCGATTGCGCGTCAATATCTGTGAGGATGATGTACTTAAAAACTAAGCATGTTACCTGTTTACAGTCAGCCAAAAGCTGTATTTGGGCCGGAGGTCGGTCTCTGGGGGCAGTGGCACAAGGCACCGCGGCCAACGGCGCGAGTGCACATTCGTCGAAACTCGCTCCACCACGTACAGATAGTGCAGCCGGACCATGAGCGCCGCCTGGCACCCCTAAACCTAGGCGGCGTATGCGTACGCCGTAGCGCATCTCTACGCGGATCCAGTGCTGTAGCAAATAATAAAATTGGTTGTCGTGTAGACTTGCCAATGTGTGCACATTCACTTGCGTAATTATAACTCCACTATCGTCTCCGATTTGTCTTTTTATTTTAATAAAAAATTATTTATCTTAATAAAATATTTAATTTTCCATCTGTTTATGTAAAAACCCCATTCATCATCATATCAGCCGGAAGCCGTCCACTGCTGAACATAGCCCCCCCCCAAGATTTCCAGACTAGTCGATCGGACTAGTAATAAACTCCATTAATGTCGACAATTTGGAATAATGAAATCGTTGGTTTAAAAAATAATTACTTAATGCCTTACTCACATTGACGAGTTTAACGTTAGACGTTGACAGATATAACCCACAAATCTATAAAGTGCACATATTTTGTAATTGACATATTATAGAAATAAGTTAAATGTTGACAAAATTGTCAAAAACAATAAATCAAAAGTGTACAAACAAATGAAAAGAAACATTACCATTTAAACCATTTATTCACCACACAAAACGTTAAACGTAACTTATTCAAGGACATTTTTTTTAACATTTAACTGCGTCCATGGCCGAACGGTTACCCTACTGGACTGCCACGCAGAGGTGCCGGGTTCGATCCCAGGGCCGGGAGAAATATTTGTATGGCCTACATTTAATTCTCTCGTGAGTTTGGGTATGACTTGTCTATGTGTCCATGGCACCCGCGATACAGGGTTTCCCTAGTACGGGGCTATGAGTATGTGTGCGTTATACACAAAAATTACAACAATTACAATATACAACAACAACAATTATTGTGTGGCAAGGGGGCAAGTTCAGCGCTCACTGTGTAAAGCATAAACGCATACACAGCACGATTTTCAACTGCCCGCTACCCGCTAATTTACGGTGACTGTTACATAATGAAAGACATTAAAACACGAGAGAGGGTTTATGAAACGAGCCGACAAGCCAGTTTCATAAAAACACCACACAAGTGTTGTAATGTCTAATTATGTACAGTTACATACACTGCTTTATCTATACACATATTATAAGCTCTTTGTGACGTGTTCAGGAACCGCATGTTACGACTGGCGAAATGGCGGCAAATAAAAACTTTTCTCACGCATATCACACAACCGTAGTTTTTATTTTTAATTCGTAGACAAACTAGAATCGGCCCCAACTATCATATTATCGTTCCATATTAAGTAACGCGTGAAATTGTCAAAATTGTTTACTATTGACATTTCAATTCGAATAAAAATTCATCTCGACTGATATTAGAATTGAGGTCCAATCAAATTGTTGTTTTTCAGAGATGTTCGAAATTTGAATGTAATAATAACATCGAATTAGATGTTATTATGAAGCATCGAGTTTAGAACCAGATACTCGATGTTATGAAGCAATAATAATATTTTCATAGATACGAAATTTGTTCTAACAAAACAGTTTACCTTTATGCTGATAGTAATTTGCGATTTTTGAACACATTATAGAGAGTTTATCATATGAGTGTAGATAAACAATTTAATCGCACATTAGGTCAATTTTCAATAAATGTTCGGTTTTCGAACACGTACTTACAGATTTTAGAAAACGTCAAACTACATCAAATCTAATATTTCCTAGTTCATAGCTAGAGTGGTGAAGGTGCCATGGTTTCTGCGTTCCGAAATTAAATCGTCTTCGAGCTTTATCATTGGAAGACATTTATCTCGTTTTAATGGGTGCTTACGACAAGTTCTATTTACTGGAAAGACTCGAGTTTCTGAGTTGGTTTATCATGGTTACTATCTGCGTTATTCATTATGTCACTATTACTATAAAAGTTAATTTCGAACAACACTTACCTGTCCAGTGCCACTGGAGCTCTGCCAGTAAGTGTGAGGCTGCGAGTCCAAGAGCCGTCTCGCGCCTGCACCAGGTCGACATGACGACACGCGAACCGCTCGAATGGCTCCGCGCCAGCCGACTGTGCTACCACCTGCACTCTCACCCCATTCCGCTGTGAAATGAAACTTTTGTTTTATACGTGTGGCGCACTATAAGTTTCCGGAACGAATAAGAAAAAAATACTATAAATGGTCAGAAATGAATTCATTGTTTCTCAAAATATTCTCTGTTAGCGTTAATGCACTTTATCAAACGAATGAACCAATTTTGAAAACATTTATGCCACTCCTCCGTGATAATCTCTGAAACATATTTTTCGTACTCTTCGACAGCCTCTTCAAGTGATGAAAATCGTTAACCGCGTAACTGGTTCTTAATTTGTCGAAATAAATAAAAGTCACAAGGTGCCAGGTCAGGACTGTACGCGAGATGGCTCATAAGGTCAAAGTTGTTCACCTTCAAAAATTCATATTTGCCGTGTGAGAACTGGCATTATCGTGGTGCAAGATGATACGGCGTTTATGGTTGCTTTTACAGAGTTTGTCAATAGCTTCCGGCGAGCAAATAGTCGTGTACCAATCACTATTCACGGTACAACGATTCTCCAAAGCAACAGTAGCCACGTGTCCAGTTTTATTAAAAAAAGAAGCAATCATCCGCTTAGAGGCACTTTGCATGCGCGCCACTTTGGTTGGTCGTAGAAAATCATACTACGAACATTTTCACAGTTAAATCCATGGTGATGTAGACAACTAATTTGTAAAATGACGCCACGATGTAAATACAAGTGGCAGTCAGATGAAACAAACTGTATTCTACAGCCAAAGAGTTCCATTTTCAATTGTTGTAATTACTTTTTAAATATTAGAATAGAATAGAATTATTTATTTCGGACCATGATCCATAATAATTTAGTAATACAGTAAATTTTTCTTACGTGCTATGGTTAGTACAATACAAAATTACTTAATTTTAGTGAAAAGAAGTGAAAGTCTAGACCGCTACCCTACGCATGTGTAGTTGCACACAATGTAGTTGGTCGGTTCCAGTTCCGGAAACTTATAGTGCGCCCTGTGTATAAGTTTTTAAAGATCTACTGATAATGTATTAAAGAAAAGAAGTTTAAAATTGATGACGCAAGCTTTAATATACAGTGTTATTTTTAACGAGACAGTATGGGGAAATCGGAAAGCATACAAGATACAAGCAAACTGTCTTAGGAACCATTAAGTCTTTTTTGTGAAAATAATTTTGGCGTAGTGAATTTTTTTTAATTTTTTTTTTAAATCAGGACAGCAGAAATTGATTAAATTTAATAAAATTATTTTTCATACGTTCGAAATACCACAGAAGTAGTTATAAAGGTACATACTACAAAACTTACATTGATCAGTAACAAGTTCCATCTCACTGACTTGCCCAGTCCATCCGGGTTGTTGGGGAAAATCGACTGTCAAGTCACGCCCGTTACTTGATATTGCTGTAAGAAATTTAAATTTCAATACGATGTGTACATAATAGACAATTGGACAATAATAAAAAAATCAAAATTTTATGTTAGAGAATGTTTGTATAATAAAAACGATCACTCAATAATAATTATAATAAATAATAATTATTTGTATTTGTAATGAATAAATAAAGTGTGAAAATTCTAATAGTTATAATTACGTAGTAAAGCCAAGAAACTTCACCGTATTCACGATACTCGTACTATCTTGTATTTTTCTCCGCGTTTTTCACTTTACGTAAAATTCTCACAAATGGCAAGTGCACGTCGTCTAGTTTATTTACCTACCAATGGCGGCCCGTGTTCTGAGCCGACATGTAGTGCCGTATTTGCGGTATTTTTTATATTCTTACATTTAATTTTAGCTTTAGGGACTTAAAAGCCAAAATAATATTTTTCTTGGTTCTATACACCCATTATGGTTCATTTTAAATACTTTCAGTAGTCCGACTCCCTATAATACGATATTACTGAGTGTATAAAACAAAACTCTACAAAAGAAAGCTGAGGGCAATAAGAGTAGCAATTATGGGAAATCTGACTAAAGAATGCGTCACAAATTTTCCACTCGATGGAAATATCGGGATTACGTTACCAGTAACTGTTCCCACACTAGTGTGATCAATGCAGCCCCATTTATATCTTGGTTGTGTGACTGCTGCCCTAACACGCACTCTGTCACCCGAAGCGAATGGAGGACCACCAGATACCACTTCTGCATGTACTGCCCTTACTCCGGCTACGCGGCCTAATCCCCGCCATTCCACCTGATTGAATAGTAAAAATTTCAACAATAACAGAGTTCAATGTAGAGCTTCAAATCAATATAATAGCTGCAGTAAAATATTATCTATTACTTACATGTAGGAAAACATTTTGTTTAATATCCCTTTCCACTTTTTGCACTTGACCTACGTCACCTAACGCGACCTGAAACACAGAAATTTATCAATATCTGCAAAAACAAACATAGCAACTTTTGTAGTATTGTATACCTACGCCTTCATAAGCCTTGCAGCATCGTACAGTCATTCCTGTAGTAATGATATCGGAAAGATACTGTGCGTATTCGTCTTCGGAGGCGAAACAACTGCGCCACCGGTAAGGCGGTTGTTTCTTTTCTGGTTTGAGTAAATGAGGTTTTATTTCAAATACTGTGTCATCCATTCCTTGTTGAGGCAACTCTAGTAAGTACGCTACGAGAGCTTCTACAGAGGGTAAACTCGTTCCACCTAAAATTTTAAAATTCTTATATACACACAGATAAACAACTATACATCGACAACCATAAGCCTGCTCTTTGTGGTCTGTCAAAAGTAACCACGGGACGCTCTTAAGCATCGAGTATATAACCAGAAATAAAGACGAAATAAGGGTAATACATTCCTGGTAACTCATCAGTAATACATCACTTATAAATATCAACTCTCGTTTGCAGTGAAATATTAAGCGCCAACAACTGACCTGTGTGTACGTCTCCGTATATTGCAAAAACTATTCTGTATTTATTGTAATAAAGATAATATCTCTAACAATGGCGTGCTTTTGTATTCGGTGGTGTGGGAAAAACAGCAAAACATCTAATTACAAAACAAACGGAATCACATTTCATCGGTAATTAAATATGTAATTTTTTCAATTTTCGTCCATTATAGCATAGCTCAAGTTAAACTGGTCGATTTGAAGTGAAACAATTGACGACACTCATCAATCGCTTCAAATCATTTGTGCGTCTTGCGTCCACCTAATGCATACTATTCATTAAGCACGCATTACTAGTGTTGCACTGAAAAAATCATATTATGTATCGATATTTGCAAGTATAATTATTACTGTATAATGATTTATTTAAACAATCGGTAAAGCAAAAAATTTACATCTAACGTCGACGTACATAGTTAAGTATTGAGCCATGAGCATAATGTATCGAATTTATAAGTATGTCAGATTATGTACAAGAAACACTAATTATTATATAATAGATTGTAGAATTATAGATATGATTTCGCAGATGATAGAGTTTCTGGAGAATAGTTCATTTTTATTGCTCAGGAAAATTGTTTTTGTTTGAGAGTACATTTATGTATTATGCAATCTTCGTAAAGCTATTCAATTAATTCTTAAAACTCTAATAGTGTAGTTGCGATGCCAAATTAATTAAACAAGTACCTGTATATTTAGGTATCTAGTTTGTGCATATTAAATGTCGTTTGATTTTTAAACGGTTGTTTAATTAAACATGACAGTTTTTCCCTTATCCCTCGCCTGGCTCAAATTTATTTTAATTATTTTTATTTCTACTTCATTGCATAATAATTATAAAATAATTAAAAAAAACACGGGAGTCCCTGTGCTCTTACAAAGTAAACTAAACATTTATTTTAGTTTATATATGTATCTTTTTGTTTGCTGTCAGTACAAAATTGTGTTTTGACATTTTTTGATACCCAATGCCATGCTCGGAATGACTATGGATTCTAACAATTCTACACAATTCGAAATCGGTTAAAACATTCAGAAGTTACAGAGGAATCAATAAACGATATTTCCTTAGATATGTATCGACTCATCCGAAGAACAGAGTCCGATGTGATTATATAGCGAAAAGAGAATAAGTACGTTACGAGAACAATTTCGTTATTCAAACTAAGGCCTATGTAAAGGTATTTTGAGAATTTATATATCTTATTTCGTTTCGGAAATATAAAATCGAACAAAGGTCGATCTGACATCCACAGCGAAGAAGAACGAACGAAATGTACTATGTCCTGAGAACAAGTAGTCTTACACATAGACCTTTGCTCTACGGATGAGTCGGTATATTCACCAAGAAAGCATTACGCTCCTTTGTTTGGTCAGTCGTGTAAAAAAACGGGTAATGGTATAATGCCATATCAACGGGTCCTAAATATAAGGGCCAAACTAACAATTCCATCATTTTCACTTTTTTGTGGGAAATGCTTGAATTCATAATGAAATAAAGCATTCCCACAAAGAATTTTATCATGAAATGAAGCATTTCCCACAAAGCAGTGAAAATGATCAAATTGTTAGTTTGGCCGTTATATTTAGGACCCATCGATATATACATCTTGACTATCGATTTCGATAATGTAATATTTGCTTGCCCAACTCTTATATATATTTCGAATTCGGACTGGCCAATCAGAGCGCAGTTGTCACCAGTTGTCATTTGGCAGAATAGTTATTTAACAAAATAAATGACATTTCGTCTCTATTTCTGGTTATATACTCGATGCTCAGCGTTCCCTCACGCTCAGCAAACCACAAAACGTTTTGCATTTGTACTAGTATTTTAGGTGATACCACGTCACGTATCACATACAATAGTTTTTGGCACGAATTTGTTTACACGTAACAGTATCGAATAAAGCACTAACATGATATAATCGATAGTGATGATTCATTTGTGCAAATACAAATATTCAATGTATATGAGCCTATAATAGTCCCTTTTTTGTTTGTTTAATTCCTCAAGCAAAATAATTCGGTTTAAAAATATCTTAAGCTCAAATGTGCGCTAATAACTTCTTTTATTAAAAAAAGTCGATCTGAAAAATTTCTTAATATATAGCTTATCGGTTTTTTTAATAGAATTATACCTGTCAAGTTTTATTAAAGTCGGTTAACGACAAGTGCGCGAAACCGGATTCATCCCCTAGTTTGCCACCCCAGTTTGCTATCCTTTTTTCAAATCGGTTGAAAAAAAATCAAGACTCAATTAAAATTAATTATTTAACACTAGTGGTAGAGCATCTTGTGAAAGAGTTTGTCTAGTTCCAGTTTGTGGTATGTGGGCAGAGTGACAATTGGAAATTTTCAAGGTAACGGGCGCAACGGCAGTGTCTCACACATCTTTGCGATTAAGGGCGAGGCCAGACGAACGTAATTTTGCGAGTTGCGTAATTTACGCTGCATTCGGTTTCACAACCGCACCGTGCATCGTGCTGGTGCAGGTGACCAAAGGGGTGAGCGAAAAGGTCACTTTGGTATTGGAAGCGCGTGAGGAGAAACGTTTCTTGTTCCATTACACTATATGATACAAAAACCCCGTACAAACGCAGAAAAGCAACTGATAAAATACGTACGTCTAGCGCTCCAACCGAATTTTAGTCGAACGTAAACTACGCGACTCACAACTCACATTTTCATGTCACACGCTCAAATTACGCCCGTCTGGCCTCACACTAAAGCTCTGAGTGGTTCTGTATATTATGTATCTGTCATGGGCAGGCGTGTATAGCTTACCAACACGACTCGTTCCGTCACTTAATAACATAAAAAGTAATAATGATGCGCCAAGCAACCACACCAACTACCTGGTCTCAAACTAGGGGATTCCCTGTACTATACGTACAAGAGCAACGAAATTCACTCCAATAGAAAAGTTTATTTCCCAAATTGGTACTACCGAGAATCGAACTCGGAACCTCCTTATCCAGAGCTCACAGTGCAAAAACACAATTACTTAGATTAATTATAAGGAATTACTGTGTATATAAATCATGATAATATTACCCAAAGCTTGTATTGCAGCGTAAACAGCATGCCTGGAGAAACCCATTTCTATTACTTGTTGTACTTGAGATGAATTTGCCCAAGTGTTAAGATCTTTCCTTGCTGCAATTTTTTAATATTTGTAGAAGAACACAGTTATTCAAATTTCCAATTAGTATATTCAACGGTAACTTACAAAGAGATGCAGTGCTTGTTGAAGGTCCAGTGGATATTTGCATGAGATTACTTTTGTCTATAATTGGCATTTCAGGTGGCGAATCGTGGTCTTTCTCATCTCCTTCAAAACCGAATGAAAATTTAATTAGAGTCCGAAGAATAACAGTGGCGTTGTGTAATTTCACATCTATTATTTCACGTTTTTCTACATAACGACAGTCTCGAACTGCCCTTATTATCATCGTACCAATTATTATTATCGTACCTTGGTATAGCAAAGCCAATGTAATCATACATAAAAGTGCTTTCATCATCTGAAAGTCTAATATACTGTTAGGTAATTTTCCGAAAAATTTCAAATAGTAGACATTTTACCGGACATTTTTGTGACAAATTAGAAATGTTTTTAAATTTTTCGGTATTGGAAAAATATAATTTAATGGATCATATTATGTTCTAGAAATATCTTTTGAAGTTTTATTTAGCGTGAATTATAATATAAAATTGTATAGCTAAAAGCAAGTTAGAGAAAAACGGGATTTAAAATGTTTGAACAGCGAAAAAAAATTTTTTTAATGACCATCATTTTCGGTCAGTAACTTCAACTATTGACAGATGTCAACGTCAACTGTGGAAAAATATAGAAAAAATATTGGAAAAATATCCGGAATAATATGATTTTTTCAAAATGGAAATTTTTCCATGACCTAACACTAGTCTAAAATAATACGAACTACACGAAACAAATTATGTATACGTGAAATTTCATACTCCTACTAAATAGGCAAAAAAAAGTAATCGACTAATTTCGTTCATAGAATCTATAAACGTCTCTCCTGAAAAGTTGTCATTTTACAGATGAGACCTTATTACACCAAGGGTTCTCGACTGGATTTCAATTAATAGTCCTGTCATAAACAACTGAATCCAATAACTTACCATTTACATGGGCAGCCAACTGTTGAACAATAGTGAAAGCAGCCGCAGCGAGATCTTTAGGGTTGTGGGAGGCGGCTAAGGGGCTAGGTCGCGTTGCTAGCGATAGTAATCTTCGTAGTAAAGTGCCTTCTGTGCCTAAGTAGGTTGATGCGCCTCTTTCTAAAGCACCTGGTATGAATACATGATAATTAACACCAATTTTCGCGAATTAAATCGCGATTTAGTATTAGTTTTGTAATATCAGCATTAACAAATTTAGGCTGTCGTTATACTTAATAGTAGGGAATTTGCCCAGCAGTTCGGGCGTCATAAATTCTGAAGGTGATATATCAGGAGTCTGCTGAGAGTACACTGATATGATCGGTCGGCACTACAATTGGTAAGTGTGCACATTGTTTATTGCTAACTTAGATAACAGGACTTGTTGTCATGATGGCCTGAAAATAAGACTATCATGAGGCAGTAACAAGATTTAGAATGAAAGCCGCCACTTATATTGAAGGTATAAAGAGGACATGAAGAGGTGGCAGAAGGCTGTACGGTGCGTGTGGAGGCCCATCATAAAGATCAGAGGATCCCATTAGTTCAGATCCAGAGGATCCACATGAGGTCGAAGATCTATTAAGACAGTGATATCAGTGTTAGTAAGTCTTATGAAGTAGAATGAAGTTGGAATAGGTATATGCGAAAAATCAACATTATGATATTTAGGTGTGACGACAACAATACTTGGATAATATTTTAAATAACGCAAAATAGGCGCTTTGTCGTCGAGTTGCGGATACCAGCCCGTTGCACCAAGTACCAAGTAATATTTTAAATAAAATAGTTTACTCCGTCCAATAATTTATTTAAATAAACTTTTGACAGCTCGAATTCTAATCAATTAGTGATGTCCTAATGCGTTTGTGATTCGATTTTTTATAATAATCGATTTCATTTATGAAATAGTTTTAATCGTGAATACGAGCGGATTAAAAAAATAAGATATTGTCTGATTAGGATCGTTATATTGCATTTGACAATTACTCAAGAATTAATAATTATTGTTAATGAGGATTCAAGTGATGATTCCCGTTCATATGGAGAAGAATCCGATGATTAATTATAATAAACAATAAGAATTTATTGTAGTTATTTACAATTTATTTCATTTCATTATAATTTATTAGACAGATACCAAAATTTATCAACTTGAATAATCTTCATTGATAAATAATAATCTGTTGACTCGATAAATATCGGAGCTATAGAGCACGTCGCTTCACTAAAATTATAAAATAAAAGAGTCCAGCAAGTATTGCATTTTTTTTGTCCATGGTTGGATGTCAATAACTTCGGAACTTAGGTATGCATATGTCAAAAGTTAAATAAATGTTTGGACGGAGTATAAAGGTTCGTAATAGTTGTAAGAACACGAGAAAAGTTTTTATAAAAAAATGTGATAAAACAAAACAAATAATTTCACCGGATCCTTTGGATTTAGAAACTTTTCTGTTATTATTTACTTACTAGCATTGTCAGGTGGTTGCATTAGAACTTTTCTAAGGCGAGTACGAGTGGTCAGCATACCGCGAACAGCGCAAAGTGTGAGTAGTTCAATTTGTTGTTTTCGTAATCCGTACACATCAATGTCAGCTAGGAGAGAAAAGAAAAAAGTGTAAAGAGTAAAAAAAAATAATAAATAAAATTGTTGTACCAAATTTTTTAAGCCAGTTGTTTCCAAATTATAACGTTGAATACTGAAGAAATTGGTTGTATGTTTTTATTTCTGTTTTTATTAAGTGTTTTGAAGTTATTAGTTTTTTGTGAATGCATGAATAAATCTATTTATTTTTTTGTGATACACACGTTATAAGGTGTTACAAAAACGCATTTTTAGCTATTGAGGTCCGCCTCGGGGTATGTAACATTTTTTATCTACACACATATCATAAACCCTCTATAATGTGTTCACAAACTGCAAATTACGACCTGCATAAAGATAAACTGTTTAGCTAGAAAAAATTTCTTATCTGTGAAAATGTTATTATTGCTACATAATAATATCGATTTTATTATTACATTCAAATTTCGAACACCTCTGAAAAATAAAACAATTAGAATCGACCTCAATTGTAATATCAGCCAAGATGAAGTTTTATTCAATAGCAAACAATTTAGACAAATTTACACGTTACTTGACATCAAATGATATGATGGTTGGGGCCGACTCTAGTTTGTCAATGAATTAAATAAAAACTACGGTTGTGTCTTAGGTTGTGTGACATGCGTGAGAAAAGTTTTTATTTGCCGCCATTTCGCCAGTCGTAACATGCGGTTCCTGTATGTCGTAGAGAACTTATAATATGTGTATAGCTAAAGCAGTATCTGTACGTAATTAGGCATTAAAACACTCGAGTGATGTTTTTATAAACCCACTCTCGTATTTTAATGCCTTTCATTATGTAACAGTCACATAAACTACTATTTCGACACACATATATGCAATGACTTCCACACTGTGCTCATGCAGTCCTGTAAAATAAAATAATAATTAACAAATTTAACAGTTAAGTACAATATAAAAAAATTATAGAAAGTAAATGTTTGAAAGAAATCTTCAATATAATAAAAGGTCATAGAATTATGGTTAATAAATAATGTCTTAATATTTATTTAATGTGAGGAAAGAAAACAGAACAAAATCGTTAAATTACCTGGCAAATGATGTGGATGCATAGGCGATGCTTGGGGTCCGGCACCGAGTAAGGCAGCGAATACTCTCAGTGCACTTTCTCCACCTCCCAACGGTTGTGTGAGGCGTTCACATTCAGCGCTTTGAACGCCGCTTAGTTCAGTCTAAAATAGAATTACACCATTTGCATGTCAGTACTACAAGAAATTGATGCCTTACTTTCTCAAACACGTTTCTTATAAAGAGTGATTATTCAGGAGATGGCTAAACTTTCTATTTATTTTAAATTTCTTATCAAGGGTCTTAATTTGAATGCATTACTTTAACAAAAGGTAAAAGGTAAGTGTGTGAATATGAAGAAAATGTGATGTGAAATCAGCCTACAAAATTTGTATCAATGCATTTTTTGCTTTTCAGTTACTTTGTGATTAACACAAGTTTGAAAAACTAAGGCGACAAAATATGTATAGGAACTAGCTGGTGCCCGCAAAGTCATCTGCGTAGCGTACTGTACCATACTATTTTTCATAGTTTTATTGGTTCTCTAAACAAACTTTTATCCCCTATTAGGGGATACCAAAATTCACTAATATTGATTCAGCAGTTTGGGCGTGAAAACGTAACAGACAGAATTACTTTCACTTATATATCAACGAACATTTCTTTTAATTCACCCCACTTGATCCAAAGGCGCAGGATGCAGCAAAACTTTATATATATAACTTTGTATTTCATTGGTTAACTCTAAAGTTTCAGTGCTGTATACACTTGTGGCGACTTGGCACCTTGTATAGTGAACATAATTGTGTATAATTTTTTAATATTATTTTGTGTAAACTTGACGGAGTATCTTTCAATAAATATAGTTTCGGATATAGTTTCCCTACTTGCTTACAAAACAAAAAGATTAAACAATATTCTCTGTTACCTCGCCATAAAAATCCTTTTTTTTTATATCTAGTGACGGGACGAACAAGTCGTGCGCCTGATGGTAAGCTACACACCTGTCCATAACAGTTGCAGTGCCACTCAGAGCTTTAATTCGCAAAGAACTGAGGGGCACTGCCACTGCGCCCGTGTAATTTCACCAGCACCCTCACCCTTATCCTTCAAAACTGGAACACAATAATGCGGACATTACTGCTTGGCGACAGAAATAGGTAAGGTGGCAGTACTTACTCGGACGAAAAATAAAATAAATTCACTTGACCAATAATAATAATAACGTGCTCACACTCATAGCCCCGCACTAAGGAAACCCTATATCGCGGGTGCCACGTACACACACATAGACAACCACATATAACACCCAAACTCACGAGAGAAATAAATGTAGACCACACAAATATTTCTCCCGGCACGGAAATCGAACCCGGGACCTCTGCGTGGCACCATGGTAACCGTTCGGCCACGGAGGCAGTTGAATGTTATGACAAGCTTGCCACTTGAGACTTCAGACCTTATCGCAAGCATTTATAAAGTTTTGAGCGAGCTTGACGTGCTCTTGACCCTGTTCTAAGATTAAATGTTGTAACCTTTTAAAGAAACAAATAATGATTATATATTATTAATAATTCTATCTTATTTTTTCATTAAATATAACGTTCTTTCTTACCTTCGTAGTAGTGTTGTCATCATGAACAAGAGTAATTTTTGCTCGAGGCGTGAATTGCGTGACAATAGCGTTTCTCGGCGGAGATCCGGCCGCCACGCGTTGGCCTAGTCTTATTCGCCACTCTACACCACCTATTACGCCCAGCGCTCCCGCTAAAAATCAATATGGTTAATTAGCATTTAGAAAAGAATAATCTGCGCAGTGGCGTAGTCGATTTCTGCCGCCAGGTTCCAACCTTAAATTTGCTGCCTATTTTCACGATCACAAAAGTAGCTCGTTCGGGCAGGCTCGCTCGATTGTGTTTTTCATGTTCGCCTGCCTTCCCTGCCTTTATGTGGTTTAGAATATCGTTTTCTCAAACAATGGAATTTATTTAAGTAAAAAAAATTTGTTGGGTTGATTATACGCAGCGCGTTAACAACAGGAATAGTAGTCGCCCTTGCATTTATTTACACGCTTCCATACACGCACCGCGGCGGCGGCGAGCGCTGCCGCAATTGTCTATTAATGTACGGTTTCAGTTGATCGCAGTCGCGCTACTGGTCCTGCGGCATGACGCCGCAACTCTTGAGGCAAAAAAACGCTGCCATCGCGGCGCCATATGTAATCAGCCTTAGCCGTTGCTGTGCCACCTGGGGTCATGGCCTCTCTGCACCCCTCACGCTACGCCACTGAATCTGCGCTCTTTGTATCTCTCTCTCTCGGGTTACGAATCCATTCATACAGATATAATTATCGTTCATTAGATTTATTTATTTATATATAGATAGCAAAGCTTATTGCTTATTTTTATTACTCTCACCTATCAGACACGTGTCGAGACTTGGTGGTGTAGGCTTCATAGTTAGCGTCATCTCTTGGCTTGTGTGTGGCCACCAATGCCAATCATTGGTCACCTGCGTAGAATAAAACCAAATTATAATTTGCTGGACGTTAAAAATATTCAACTACGCGTTGTATCCGTGACTCACCATTTGAGCAGCAAGTTGTAGTTTGTCAAGTAGTAGAGTGCTAATGGGTGTAAGCCATTGGGGAGCGGAGTGCAGTTGTCGCACTAGTTGCACTAGTGCGGCGCAAGTTCCTCCAGTGTAGCTAGCAGTGGCAGGAGCACGCCATCTATTATCTAAAAACATCAAACTATTATGCCAGTTCTACACAATCCGGTTTCGTGTGAAGTCGGAAGCGGATTATAAATTCTTCATAATTCTTAGCGTCCATTGCTTGGTATTTACGTGTACAGTGTAATAAAAAAAAATATGGTTATACATAGGAAATGAACTATTTTTCCGGATTTAAATCGCGTATATTTGTTTTTTCAAACAAACCGACGTTTCGGGCCCTTTACAGGACCCATGGTCACGGTTGACTCAACCGTTGTTAACTTGCTTATTGACATGAAGCAAATGTTATTAAAAATAGGGAAATAGTTTTACAGCTCTATATAATTCACACGGAAATAAAAAAAATAAAATAAAAAATAGAACACGTTGTTCAAAATTAAAATAATTATACATTTTAAATCTAATAATTAATGGGCATGGAAATTAATATTCGTATGTATTCGGAAATCTGATGACTGCCGAGGGACATTGAGAAAATAAAAGCACTGTACCTATATTGTGTACAAAGGGCGGTAAATAAGGAATCACCAACGAGACTGTATCAGAAGCCAGAAGTCGAAAACTGAGGGCTTTCGGAATGGTGGTTCGTAATTCCCGTACCGCCCGTGAAACATACAATGTTTGTCATCGCACTTGCACGTAAATAGTATGATTGCATGCAGGCTAACTTGACTATAATGCCTCAAATAAAACCTTCGGCCCTTTTTTCTTCTGATTACAGCCATGGTCGGTACTTACCGACTTCTTCGTCAAGCGGCACAGCTACGGGCACGTTTTGGTGAGGACGTAGTGCTGGATCCCACGAGTGAGTTTCAAGCCAGAGTCGACCAATTAGAGCCAGTAGCTGCGTGCCTACTGTGCGACGCCATTCTGAAGAGCCACTGTGCTCCACGAGCACTCTCCGTAATAGCCAGAGAGCTTGAATCTGACAAAAGGTAAATATGAGTAATGCAATCTTAATATAGTAGATAACATTTCTGCATTTTTCTTTCCAATGATGAGTACTCGATTGCTTTAGCTTGTTGTTAAGTGTATTTGTACTCGCATACATGCGTGCAATAAACATCATTTGTATTGTACTATTTGCAGCACAATATTGATCGAAAATAAGTGACTGTTAAACAAACCTGTAAATATATGAGATCCCTGGTAATAGGTTTCTCAGCCGCGGAGATAATACTGTAGCAGAGCTCAAACCAAGAGTCTGTGCACAATGAAATACGCATCTCAGGGCTCTGTGCACTTGCTGTAATAAAAATAAACCTATTAAAAGTCTTTTTATTTAACAAAAATAATAATAAATTTATTTATTTCTCACCACAATACAACTTAATAAGCATAATATAAATGATATATTGACTATTCTACAAATATTGTGAGAGACTGATGCCTAAACTAAGCTCAAGGGCTGTATTTCAGGCCATTTCATTTTTATTATAAACCCTTTCCAGAATGATTGTTATAGTTTTATTACTACAGTCAATCTGGGGGTCTACTCTCGATCTCCGTCCGACATCCGTCCGAAACAATTACTGCCAACTAAGCAATACTTGACCAAATGAAAAGACGCGTGATGCGAATGAAGCTTCATACTTGATACTTGTCTTTTAATTTTGTCAAATATTACTTATTTGACAGTATTGTTTCGGACGGAGATCGAGAGTAGAACCCCTGGTGTACGGGGTGCAAGAGAAAACGCACTTAAACCTCTATTAATTTAAAAGTTTATTATAGCTTATCGAAAGAAAATAAGAAATGAAGGAAGTTAACTAACCACAAAACAAAGAATAACCGTCCTTATAGTGATCACGCTACAGTTAATTTGAACTTACCCCTGAGTAAAGCTAATGCAGTATGGTAATGAGCAGAAAAGGCAGTGGGGGGCGGTGTGGCATGCGCATGGGCCAACGTGAGTAGACGTCTTTGTAATGCGGCTATGTTTCTCCTAGCTACAACTCCCGTAGCTATGTGCGGACTACCCGCGCCCGCGCATAGTGACCGAATAGCGCCCGTACATGCTGCTCGTACTTCGTTCACTGGCCACCATTCTACATTGTTGTCCGCTATCAAAACAATATTTGTAATTAATTTCAATGTAGCTAAAAGATACAAGGAAAAATCTCTATCACGATAGAAATTTGAAAGTATACAATGTTACTTTATAAAAAAAATATAACTCATTGAAAAATTTTGGTGACGCTTCAGGGAATCAGTAAACTTATTAAAGCGGAATCATCTTGATGCGATCGTATTTAACCACAAGTTGACGCGACGAGTCGTCGGCTCCGTACGGATGCGATCGGAAATTTGCAGGAAGCAGATGTATTGCCGACTTGTGTGGAGCCGCGTTTGTACGAACCGATGCAAAAAGCACAACGTCTTTTTCTCTCTTACGGTTATGACCGGCTTAATGCGATTTATAAGTCTTTGCGTTAATAAGTCTGGTGACTCGCTTATCAACAGGTTTTAATAACGATTACTAGAAAAATATTATACCATTTCCATGGACAGTTTCATCGACTGACGGCGGCGGCGACGGCGAACGAGCGAGTTTCAGATCGTATTTGCCCTCTTTGCCCATGCGATAAGAGTTCGTGCCTCCTGCGTCCCAAGCTACACGGACCCATCCATCCTCGCCTAATTCACCGATTACTCTGCCTTCACCACCAGGAACACTATCCTGAAAAGAAAAACGTAAAGTTAAAAAAAAATTGGTCTATATTAATTGCTAAATCAGACATAATTACAGAACCCACAGAACAATAAATATAGTAGAAGTATTTAGTTTGCGTAGCGCGAGTGCCAACGGTTCGGATAATTCCGCACACTTGAGCTCAGTTCTCAGCTCAGTCCATTTTCGTTTTGTACGTTACGGTTGTGTTAATTATCTCGCGCGAAAAAATGCCGTATTTGTTACTTTGGAAAGCAAAAATGATAGTCACTCTTGTAATATTATCTATGGTGGTGTTTGTTTGGTGGTGGAGTGTTATTTTATTTAATTTTAATAAATTTTCAATTTTCTGTTTATCGTAATCATTTTTTTTGTCAAGAAACTAAAGTAAACATTATAGCGCTGCAATGGGGTCGCTTCTTTTTTGGAGAACTTAGTAAACATCTCGAATTCATCGTCGTTCAGTTATTAACTGTTAGATGGCAGCACATTGATTGAAATTTCAAAATAGGAATTGATGGTATTGAACTTTCAACGTTATACCAACAGGGTAAAGTTTAAATTAGAATAACTGTCTAGAATTAGTTACTTCTTTTTAAATTTTAAACTACGACCAATCATTATCAAGATTTCATAGTGTTTCAAATTATAAATGTGCGAGTTTTGAGCGACAGCGCACTCCAATGTTTTTCTCTTCCGTGACAGAACTTAACAGAATTTTTCAAAATTCTCTAAAATAAAGCGCGATGTGGTATAAAGCTCATAAGACTAAATAAGCTTTACATGTAAAAAAACGTATAAAAAAAATAATTTTAATATATATACCTGGTCGCCCCACTTCCAATCCTTTCCTCTGACTACGCGAGTGCCTATCTTCATAAGCGACGCCAATTCTGGTCCCGACAGCGACGCGCCTCTGGCACGAGCGCCTAGTCTTTCATCCTCATAAATTACTAAACATTCAGCTGAAATTTAGGCAAATTTTACTAAGTATTCAACAAAACACTAAACAATTAGGAAGACGAATGTGACCCTATCATTTCTATGTAATTTTCCTCAGTCGAATAACAACGTATTTCGGTCGGACACGGTTCATTCAATGTAAACAGTTATGCATCTCACCTTTAGATTTTAATCCATGACAAATTAAAGAGGAATGTTGTGAAGTGTCACCTCCGATTTGCTTCAATAACGTTAGACAAGAGCTAAGGGCGCCACCATTGATCAGCTGCTCTAATTCTGGGCCTTGACAACCTTCTATGAGCAACGATAATAGAGTTATGAGGAACCTAAAAAGCAAGTTATGTTAAGTTTATCACTGTACACTAGATTACGCATATCGCTTCACTTTCTCTCAAATGTCACATCTTTACATGTCTGAAAGAGAACACAGCACAATTTAAGTCCTCCAATTTATGCTACTAACCTGGCTCTTGAAGGTCGATTCAACAACGCATGCGCGCCATAATTAGCGCTCATTTTTAATGGCAAAGACTGTGTTTGTTCGCCTTCCAATACTCTAGATTTCAATTCGATTAAAACAAAATCCATCAATTTCGATCTTTCTAGAAGTACCAAGTACTTCGAATACGGTATCACAGACTCTATACCTTTCATTGGTGCTGTTAGAGGAATGGATGGTTTCAATTGAACATAGGGGACTGAGTCGGCCATAGAGGCTCCTAGAATGCCTGCCAGTGCAGCGTATTTAACGCTTTCTGACATTGTTTGTGATGAGTGGAGTATACTGTTTATCATGCTATAGCCATTCTTTCTAATTTCAGCTCTTTGCACCTGCAAATAAAACACGTTTTAAAATTACATCCTTCCTAAATACCCTAGTCTAAAATCATATAAAATAAATTACTTTTCACTTCTCATGCTCTTAAAGTACGTATTTATGCTGGGTGTAGGCAGCACAAAATAGGATTTTATGCTCCAGTGCATAAAATAAAAAAACCATCACAACAAATATGTCTAATTGTTGTAATTTTACATTCAATTTTAATCAAATAATCGTTTATTTGTAATATTGCTGTTTAATTTCCTCGCAATCGAAGTGAAAAGCAGAGTAATAAGCACTTGTTGTACAATCTACTATTACCTGACAATACAAAGCTCGCCTAAGTATATCAATATCACAGGGTTCTTCAGTCATGACGAAATCTATAATCGCAGTTGTCAAACTTTGTTGTTCTGATGTTACTTCTTCGAGCATCCAATACAAATCTGCGAAATTAAAAATATCATAATAAGCCTTGTATTCAATAAACCCCCGAAAAGAAAAATTCTATTGTTTGACTTTCGACCAATTACGAGCATTCTTCCCCTACTGTCTTCAAATAACGTAAAGTCGATTGGTTGAACCTGTGTCCCGTATGGAGTCATACTTTAAGACGGTCAAGCAATACTTAATTAAAATCATATGTACCTTTCTTTTCACAAGCAAGCCTGGACACCCAGGCATTAACGAACTTATTTCTCTCTGAATTATCATCATCCTTCTCTTCATCTGCCATAATGAGATCATTTTTGAGATCATCAGCTAACATCATCACTTGCTTCTCACTTTCCATCGACTCTTTCAAAATCGAGTTGTCCGTCATATCATTTATGGAACTAATCGACATTTCATTTGTAGGAGTTTTATCGTCGTTATCTTTGTCTAAAATATCTTCACGTTCAGCCACTTTAAAATCGTTACGAGTATCGCATCGCATTAAATCACCGTTGTTCGACGCATTTTTCAAATCTTTCTCTAAAGGTTTATCTTTGGCTATTAGTTTCTTTGTTTGCTGGTTGGCAAGGTCTTTTGCCATGGGGTCGCCAGAGCCGTCTCTAGAAGGTTCTACGACAACGCCGGGGACGTCGTCAGGTGTTTTACTTGCGTTGGCTATGGAAGATTTAATGAGTAATGCATCGCCTTGAAGTAGGCTGCCGGTCGCTTTGAGCATGCTTTTACTTAAGCTGTTCTGCCGGTTTCGTAAATCTTTTGTTGTTTCAAAGCTGTAAAGTATTTAGACTTTGTAAGTACTATTAATTTGTATCCTTATACGATGATGACAACTCTGATGACTGTAATATTACTCGTTTTTACTTGATGTTTTACTTACCATTTATTAAAACTAGGCGACTTGGCAACTCGCATGACCTTTTGAAATATTTTCTTAGCAGTGGGTGGTCGACGCGATGGTGGCCGTAAATGCAAAGCTGACACCGCAGAAGATATAGCTGCTCGTACTTCGTGTAATAAGAACCTTGCTCTTTCTAAGGGAGCCGCACATACCTTTTAATAGAAAACTAAATTAACTGAAGAACAGTATTGAACACATTTAGATGCTTTTACGTTGAAAAAACACATTGATGTACCTCTTTATACCCTCGTGATAGTTGCTGCCTTGTACGCATTAAAGTCCATTTGCTTTGTTGCACGGCTTTCACTATTTCAGACATGGCTGGGGAAAGTTTCACTTCCCCTTTCTCCATTTCTATGGGAAAAATACACAAAAGTCAAAGTATCGGATGCACCCATTGGGATATCTGTAGTTTGACGCTATTGACAGTAAATTTGCGTACTTATTAATGTACACTAAAAAAAGTCCTGGTAGCCTAAAGGCTTGACCCAGCGTCTAACAAGCCAAGGACGTGGGTTTTTTTTTATAAAAAACGAACGGGTACAAATCCGGGATCGCCCTTTTGAGGAATTTAGGTGCGAAATTTAGCATGATTACCACGAGCTTTTCGATAAAGGACAACATCATGATGAAGCCTGCACACATCGAAGAAGATACATAACTCTTAAAAAACCTGTGAAGTTCCTAATCCGCAATGGGCCAGCATGACGGACTATGGCCCAAACCTTCGCCTGAGATGAGACCCGTGCACAGTAGTGGGGCGTATAAATGTGAAAAGATTGTCAACCGCCAATAGGGAGCATTAAAATAGATTACTCGGTCACATAAACTTACTGTATACGATAAAGGTGAAAGAAGAGCCCGAAAGGGCCGTATTTTACAAATATTACTAGATTTTAGTGGTATTAAATAGGCACATGATTTAAAATTGATACTGATAACCGGATCAAAATTGGCGGTGAAAACGAGCAGAAGTGCTCGCTTCAGAGAATAAGCAGAGAGTGACGACGGAACAAAACAAAGTAAGAATGACGAGACAAAGGAATTAAAGAACTATTTAAAATTTGAAAATAAGTGGCCAGGTACCAGAGAAAAGGTAATAAAAAGGTGGGATGACGATAAGGGAGGTCGCATCGTCATAAATGGGTTAATGATGGTGACAGCAAATTCCTCAACTTTAGGTGTTAATTTGACATCTTACCAGCTGTAGCCGTAGCCCAAGCATGTTCCTTCAACCCTGCGTGGTATAACAATACAGCTAATAATGCTCTTCTCAGTTCTTCCAGAGGATGTTCAGGCGGGAAATGGGGAGCACAGCCTTCACGTCTCTCGCACGCCCACCACAAGTGTAATGCTAAAGGATCCTATAACAATAAATAATATGAGGATTCCAGTACGCGAATGGACACGATATTATAGGAATAATAGGATTCGAAGTCCGATTATAGCCGATCACATGTAATTGTTCAAAATTTATAAATTAACTTCTCCATATCTCTACACCTCGCAATCTAATTTATATGGATTTTAACGCTGGCCCGGTAATATCGCAGTCAGATTAGTGGAAAAAAGCCCCAGGTAATAACTGGCAAATTAGACTAATTACAATTAAAAGAAACGGGAATGTGAGGCAAAAATGTATGTAATTTATTATAATTGAGGCTAAAAGCGTCTTTCTTCACCCTTCCTCGCTTCGTGTACCTATTACAATTGTATAAAAAATATTTTACAATTAAAAAATTGAGTGGGTTACACCAGTATTGCGCTAATAGCTAGCAATTTATTAGTGTGGATACGTCGCATATGAAACCAAATACTCAAAATTGTGGAATTGAGAAAACACAATTTTAAAATAAAAAAATATACTGAATTGATCTTATTGCGAATAATATTGTATATTATATTATTTATGTTTATATTGTAATATATTATTTATACATAATACTTATTATCCATTTATAAAAGACAATATTATAAAGTGTTTTTTTTTAACTGGGACAGTATGGGTAAATCCGAAACCATAGGTAACTATCTTAGGAACCATTAAGTCTTTTTTGTGAAAACAATTTTGGCATATGGACTGTGAACTGGCAACTGGTACTATCTCAATTTTGACAACTTTACAGGGTGAAGGAGAAATCATTTATATAGCATCTGGGTTATTAAATAAAAATACGTAGTCTACATACAAATATGTGTAACAAAAATATCTAAAAACTACGTATTTTAATTTAATAAACCAAATGCTATATAAATGACACCAACAATTTTTTTCTTCATTCTGTAAAGTTGTCAAAATTGAGATAGTACCGATTGCCAGTTCACAGTCGATATTACATTTTTTCTTCAAGCATGAGTTGTCCATAAAAATTAATGAAATCGATTTTTTTTAGTGCTAATCGACTCTGTTTCGTGTAAGGATCATATTTCATTGTATTGGATGAAATAAAACTAATAATGGCTTCATTCAGTATTTTTTTTAAGTTTCAAATCGTGTTTTCTTAATTCCACAATTTTGAATTACGACGACAATATTTGGTATCGTGTGCGATATAATAATATGTACCCGTAGCAACGTCCATAGAAGCCGTTGCACGGACGGTACAAGCCATAATAAAACAAGTAGTACAACTTCCACTTCGAGAGACGCACAGTATGTTATTTTGCTTTAGTTGCGGACAACCTCGTTTTATGTTCGATTTCAATAGGTTGAATCCTTACAAATTGTACTAAGAAACACCCGTTTAGATATTTACTTTTATTATGGAGATATAATTAACTGCCTCCGTGGCCGAACGGTTACCATACCGGACTGCCACGCAGAGGTCCCAGGTTCGATTCCCGGGCCGGGAGAAATATTTGTATGGCCTACAATTATTTCTCTCGTGAGTTTGGGTGTAATTTGTGGTTGTCTATGTGTGTGTCCATGGCACCCGCGACACAGGGTTTCCCTAGTGCGGGGCTATGTTGAGTGTGTGCGTTATTATTATTATTATTATTAATTTTTTTTCGAAAGGCCACTGAACTTCAAGAAAAATGCTTTTACCTGTTTTTCGCGAAATATGTGAAACTTCCGTTTGAAAAAAATACAAATTGACTGTCTATTTAAACTTTAGTAAATGTGAAAATCGTAAGTCCTTAGGCGCACAAAAAAGGGAGAAAAAAATATTTTGTTAGTTTTAAAAATATATTTATATAAAAGTAACCGTACTAAATTAGCATTGTTTTTTTACCTTAAAAATATACTACATTAATGTATCTATCGAATAAAGAAAAAGTAAACGTTTATCTCGGAAGATCTCGGAGATACCGCGTTTCTAATGTTTTTTTAGATAGATTTCTATGGTAATAGGGTTCTCACAAAATGTATAAATTTTTACCCGACTACGTGAATCAATTATGGGTTATGTGTTTAAACAACAATAATAATATATTTATTTCGAATATGAATAGACTTGTACGTGGAAGTAGATACAAAGATGTGAACTTATTTTAGTGTTCGTAAATATAAAATTTTATTCATACATGTGGGAGCTTTGGTAGCCCACAACAATTCAAATTCCTTTATGAGGTTCAGATAACATAGTCCATAATATGGTACATTAATTGAATTTTTACATTTTTAAATTACGTTAGTTAAATTGAAATAAATTAAATTGAAGTAATTATGTCAAAAATAATTGAAAACAATGTACGTTACATAGTATTGGCATATTTTGTTATAATATTCACGTATGTGCATTACGTTGTGTGAATAAAGACAAATTATCCTGGCAAATGCTGTAAGCTCATACATTTTCCTCATTATTGGATTGCCGAATGATTTCGTCTGTTGCTAGCATGACATCAACAGTTTCAATACTAATGTCTTCTGCTGGGTAATGATGGTAACGAACATTTTCCGTTGTCACTCTTAGAAGGCAAAGAACTTTACCAGGTGTAGGTAGAGATTTTTTATGTTTGTGACATGTACTAAGTGTTAAAGAGGATAAATAAAGATCAGACGATTCTAGTGCACAGTAAAACAAGTCTGTGATGGTCGTTTTCCGATCCAACTTTCGTGTATGGTGCTCTCGATCTTAACGTCAAAACTTGTTCCTTGATTCACCGGCTTGTTCCGATAATATACCTATTGGTAATGTGCTACACTCAATGAATATAAAATATTGCACTTTGCAGACTGGATAAATATTCAGTTACAACCCTAACCCAAAATTTAAAAATGCAATATTTCTGGTCTCTTGTGTTCGTCGCATCTGGATTTATTTATGGTAGTACTTATTACTGTAATTAACAAATCCTCCCAAAATCTCAAATCCCAAAATTAAAGTCTTCAGAAAAAAAAATGCTTTAAACTATAGAAAAAAAAAATTGTGCTCGAGGAAAGCTTGATTTTTTTTTAATTTTTGGACTTATTGGCGCTTTTAGTAGTTTTCTATTATAACATGAAATATTTAATGAAAAATCAATTACAGGAAAAGAGATAATCTGATTTTATGGTCTCTATAGATTTTTCTCGATATTTTACATTTCTCTAAAACTATGATAGATATAGCCAGGAGAGTTTAATTAAGAGCTTTGTTTGAGTATCTTTCTAAAAAAAAACATATAACGAAGATGTCCGCAACTAAGGCAAAATAACCCACTGCCGGGCACAAGCAGGTATATCTATCTCACTCGTACCTTTAGATTATTTTACAGTTATCTTTTTCTATCTAACGGTGCATTGGCTGGGGTTGAAACTTGTTAAAAGCTTTATAACGTTTACTTACCTTCAATTTTATACTTGACTTCGTAAGTTCGTCAAAACCCGGTACCCTATACAAAAGCGCATTCCATGTTAGCAAGGTACCGAGTTGTAGGTACAATATGTATCCAATTTTCCGATCTTTGATCAAGGGTCATATACGGCTCACCCCAGAAATAGGCAAGCGCTCAGGTTCCACGCCCAAATTGAGGGTAAAAAATATTTACTATTAAATACTTGCTAAGGTTTGTTCAAATTTAACGACATTGGTATAAAATGCTTCTATTTACCTAATTTTCTTATTCATATTAATTTAAAAACACCACAAATCACGGCTATTTGAAAGTTGTACTTTACTGTTTTAAATCAGATCAGATCTAATAATAACTCTTTATTGCACAAAGAAAAGATACAGAAAAGATACATCTACAAGTTGTTGGAATGCCAATGTCCGAAAAATTACCTCTGTAATATATTATATTGTGCCACTTTAGAATCGGAGGGTAGGGTCACTTCCGCTCTATCACCAGTCCTCTCGAAGAAAATAAAATTAAGAAGTGAGTAAAGTAAGATATGAACATATAATATTGCAATTTTCAGACAGGATAAATGTTCAGTCACAACCCTAACACAAAACTTAAAAATTCTATATTTCTGAACTCCTCTGTTTGTCGCGTCTGGTTTTTTTGTGGTAGTACTTATTACTATTATTAACACATCCGCGTTGAATAAAAATGTTAATATGTAGAATTTCTTCAAAAAAAAAACGAAATCATAGAAAAAAATTAAGTGTGGTCTAGGAAAGCTTGATATTTTTTTATTCTTTGGATTTATTGGTGCTTTTAATAGTTTTCTATCATAACATGAATTATTTAAAGAAAAATCATTTACAGGAAAGGAAATAATCTGATTTTATGGTTTTTATGGATTTTTCTCGATTTTCTAAGTTTCTCTAAAACTATGATAGATACAGCGTGGAGAGTTTTATTACGAACTTTGTTTGAATATTATCTGTCTAAAAAACACATAAAACTAGGATGTCCGCAACTAAAGTAAAACAACACACGGTGGGACGTGTAAGGCTACTATTCCATCGGAGAGTAGGGTTGTCACATTATCATTTTAGTTGTGCCTACCGGTTGTAAACATAATTTGAAAAAATTAAGATATTCATCACAGTAATCTCGTGCCATATTGAAATAACCTTTACTTTCACATTATTATTTTTATACCAGAATCGCGATTGGTATCTCGATTATGGGTAACACGTCTACTATTTGATGTCATTTTTCGAACACCAAGCGAACACGCTATGTAACGCGTGTGCAACTCGTGATTCTCCGAACGTATGCATCCGCGTACGGTGTGCGGTGGGCGCATCAAGTACTACTCGTCTTATTATACTATGTTACAAAAGCGTATTACTCAGTTACAAGTAAACTACTACTAAGACGTTGGAGCCACGCGACGTTCAACATCAACGCGTTTTTCCGTTGTAAATATAAACTCACGTGTAATTTAGGTTCAGCTAAAGCAAACAGCAGACTGTCAGCGCGAGCCTGTGACGTAGTGACGCTAACGTGCGGTGGGGGTCGCGGCACACGAGATGGAATGGGCGTATCGCTTGCGGGGCTGTTACCACCGGTTGAAGATCCACTACGAGCTTCTGCTTTCTCTTCCTCGAAAGGGTTTGCTGGCTGGGTCACCTGGTAATTATATAGATTCAAAAGTAGTTTCAGATGTCATCATCATCATCAACCCATTTATATGTCTCACTGCTGGGCACGGGTCCCCTTTCAGACGAGAGTTTAGGGCATAGTACGCCACGCTGGCCCAATGTGGGTTATGAACCTTCGTCAACGTGCAGGTTTCATCACGATGTTTTCCTTCACCGAAAAGCTCATGATACATTTCAAATTAAATTTCGCACATAAATTCCGAAAAACTCAGAGGTGCGAGCCCGGATTCGAACCTATGACCTTCTGCTTGAGAGGCAGTATATCAAATCATTAGGCTACCATGGCTTCAGATGTATTACATAATATCAACTTGTATACAGTTTTAAGACATGATGCACCACAGCAGCACAATGCAATAGTTAGTTTGGTGAAAATACAAGCATATGGGACTTGTCAACTTATGTCTTACGGTGGAGGGTACAGTGGCAGTGCACGCAGATCGTTGTGATTTAAAGCTCTAAATGGCACTAGAACTGATTTTGACAGGCGAGTCGCTTACCACTAGGCGCACGACTTGTTCGTACCGTCACTTGGTATTATAAAAAAAGTTGAACCGTTAAGGGTTTAACAAGTTAACAAAGCCAATTCATTAAAATACAATACAATTGGTAGAAGGTACAATTGGTAAGGATAGTGGAATCTAGCTGAGCGCAAGAGTGAGGGTATAGCGCTACTGATTAATGTATCGGATTTATCGAAAATAACGTGATATTCCATAAAACCACGCTGTTTACGCGTAGATTAAACTGACACAACCATTGACTTACAAATAAATAGACGACGGGTCTAATACAAAAACCGCGAAAAAAATGTCCCAAGTCAACCTATTTAAACGTAGTGACATGTAAAGGAATATGAAAAAGCTAAAACGTTGAATATAAATTGTAATGTCATCGCAGTACTGTCTAATTTTGCTTGCTTCGCTGTCAGAAGAAACAAACGAAGACTAAAGCGTGAATGACGCTCTGTATACGATTTTAACGCCCTATAAGTTCGGACACTTTTTAGCGCGGACCCGACGTCCATATAATTGTAAGTCAATGGACACAACATAAATTGTACAAATTGTGCTAACCTGTAAACCGCCTCTAAGAAATACAGCAGCAGTATAAGGCGCAGCGTCTCTCTCGGCTTGCTGCACTGGAAGCGAACGAGCCAATCGAGCGCCGCATTGAGTCACTCCTAGAGCGATGTGGAACGCGCAGGACGACAGAATGTGATGCGCTCGGAGACTTGACGTACTTTCCTAAAAAAAAGTTCTTACGATAAGGTACAAGTTCCCAGCTAAACGTTACTACCGAATTTCTATGCTTTCTATCACCTTCTCAAAAACTGACAATCTTATAGAAGGGAAAAGTTATGAGTTAAGAGAAATGAGTTTTGGTAAAATTAAATGTCAAAGTTAAATCAGTAAAAACAGTTACGAACTGAATCCTAAAAACATAATTAAAATATTGTTCACTGGCCTTTACGTTTAAAATAAAATAAATAGACTAGAAACCATTCGTTGCGTCGTCAAACAAAATAAAAAATATATATATCGACGCCGGAAAGCGATCTTGTCGTATATCGAAAAATAGGTCTTTACACCGGGGCCGAAAAACTATTCAAAAAAATCATTTCTCTTTAATTTGAATTAGTAGAAAGTCAATTTTAAAGTATGATTATATACATTCTACTTT